TACACAAAACCTTCAACCCCAAATACTTATTTACAGAGTTGTGGGGTCAGAGGCACCATAAATCGTGGAGTCAGTTGAAGGTTTTGTGTACTAACTCCAAAGCCCTGCATACAGGACAAACCAATTTAATTCAACCATTGATAAATAAATTAGTTCCAATTCTTCTTGCCTCAGGACTTTGTTACTTTGTCTGTGGTCAACAAACTGCCATTTCGCAATATTATCAAAATCTGAAGGAGAGTATTTGACAAAAGTCGAGCCATTGCAACACTTTGTAATTTGTGTTCACCCCTATGGTATCAACTTTCCATCTCGAAACAGAAGTATGAAAGCTGGACAAAAACACAAGTGAATTCTGCTTGGCTATATCTAGTATATAAAGGCAAATCTAGACTGTCAAAATATTTTCTTGATATGCGGTTGTGGTATTAATTAACAAAAAAACAAAAAAAAAGATTTTAAAAACTTTTCTTTTTTTTTTTAAACTTTTCTGACAAATACTTCCGGAGGTCTGTGTGTTTCTGCGTAGATTTAGAGAAGTGCACTCCATCAACCCAGAGGAGAATTTGCCCTGAAAAAAGGTTGTGTTTGTTGCAGGTTGAGATATGGATTACTGGATCTATCTGGTTACTAATACCACAATGTCCTCCAACTTGCTTAAAGGATACATCATATTTCAACTGTCTACAGACCGTTCACCAGGTCTCAACCTGCAACATACCTTGCCTTCACTCACTATCCATTCTCAGTTTTCTTTTGTTGATTTTCTTATTTCCCTTCCTTTTCTTTCCTCCTGCTTACCATCTCTACACCAGCCGTCCAGATACAAGCTTCATTTGGTTCCTGAACCCACTGAAGTCTATTCGTTACTTCATCTGGCACACTTACCGCTGGCTGATACTGAAAATCCTCATTCTCATCCTTCTTCTTCTCATGGTGGGGCTTTTCCTTTACTCTTTACCGGGATACCTAGTGAAGAAGATTCTGGGAGCCTGAGGGTACTTACCTCTGATGGTACTTTCCTTTCCCTCTCTACGTTGTTACTATTTTCACAATTTACTAGCACAGTAAACTCATTACTCATAGTTACATCAGCATACATGGGAACTCGTAGGGCTGGACCATGCCTCTAATATATGTCTTCAATTTGGTTGGGTTGCCCCGTAGTGTTGGTACTAAAGTACACCTGAGATGTAAATCCAGCTAGTTTTGATTCTCTGTTATTTGTCCTGGTGTGAGAGATCAGCCCAGACTATGCCACACGATTTATCCAGAAATCAGCTTTTAACAGCTGAGCCGTATGTCTTCATTCGTAATAATAATTTAAAAAAAAGATAAATTACCATGTGATCACTAATACCACTAATCTTCCATTTCAGGAATGTGACCTTGATTAATATCACTACTAACTCAATAATACTTTTTTTCTACCCATTCCACCCCCGACATTCTCTACTACCCCTACTCTTTTTATGCTGCCATGGACAGTCGGCCTGACACCTCCTTCATCTGGTTTCTCAACCCACTTAAATCCATCAAGTACCTCATCTGTAATCGCTACAAGTGGCTCATCATTAAGATTGTCCTGGCGTTGCTACTATTGGCTATGGTGGCACTCTTCTTGTACAGCATGCCTGGTTATATGGTGAAGAAGTTGCTTGGAGCATGAGATGTGATCAGTGGGACGGACTCTGTTGTGGCTTAAACTTGCGCCACGTTTATTTTCTCCATCTCCGACTGTGGGGTTTTGTGATGGCTTTCCATTAACACATCTGTTTTGCGTGATTATTTGGGGGGTGGGGGTTCTTTAAAGAAGCAGAATAGCGAGATAACATCAAATATGAAAGATAGATCTTAGTCTGCGGGGGGCAAAAGTTACACAATGTAGATTCGTCCTGTCTATCAAGATGATAGTTTAACTTTAATAGTTACCAGCTGCAGTGAACTTTTTTTTTAGGAATCCAGTTTCTTAAATATTGTTTCGAAGAGTGAATTATAGGTAATTATTCAGGTGAGCTCCCCCAACAGATGATATGTTTCAGGTGTGATTTAAGCTGAAATCTTTAGCCTACTGTAGCATTTTTATACACTGGAGTAACATGCCACACTCTTGAAATCAGTGATATATTTTTCAAGATCCCCACAAAGTTCAAAACCCCTCTTCAATCATGAATCTTTAGATTACAATGATTAAATTAAGACTAGTGTGCTTCCACATTTCAGTAGGGAATCTTTTTTTGATGACGTTCTCGATATTTATATAAGATGTTGGCCTCAACATCTTCTTCATTTTGGGATGTCATAATAACTACCTAGACAATATTACTGAGCATGGAACAAATTGTGGGGCGAATTGCATTATTCTGTGTCAATCCATTGATGCAATTGTTAGTTTTAAATAATTATCTAAAATATATTTATATATGTGAGTTACCTCTAGGAGTTACGTAAGTTCCCAGAGGGATAACTGGGGTGGAAAACAAAACTATGCAGATAGAATAATATATTTTCCTAGAAAATGAATTTCTAAAAAAAGGATCTAATCAGGAAAGTGATCACCATTTAAACTTGCTTTACGTTACTGAAGGAAAGGGGTTGATGAATCGCATACGTTAGAGAATCTTAATTCTATCATCTTTTTTACAATAGTGAGTTTTAAAGAGTAGGGCATTTTCATTCAATCCGGTACTTTTAGAAGGGACAATTGCTAAGAAATAATACTGGCCTACATAGTCTGCCGTTTCAGTCCCTAAATACTCAATCCATACAGAAAAAAAGTCAGGATTCCAGTTTTAAGCATGCCACCCAACCCTCCCTAATTTGGTGGGACATTTCTGCTTTTGGGGACATCAAGAAACTGTTCCCCCAAGGTTCCCCCAAAGCACCTCATTACATGTGATTGGCATCTTTGGCCCACCCTCTTCTTCCCTGCTCGATAAGATATAATTGTATTTTATCTGGTACAAACTCAAATGTAGTACAATGTGCACACCTGTGAGTGTATCACTGTACGTTACAACTGGGGGAAGGTTCCAATATTCCGGAGACTCGGTATGAAAGCGATAAAGGAATAGGTCCTCATAGCAAATCAAACTTGTATTAAATGCAATATTAGTGCATATTTTTTTTAATAAATCCAACTTGGACTTCCTCGTGTTCCCAAGTGCTCAAACTACCTACACGCATTAATGCTGTCTTTAATAAAAGGGTTTGCTTTTTCATTTTGGGGTATTACGTACATTTTACATTTGCTATGCCACCGTGAATGTCAGATGTTGTAATGGGTTGGATGTAATAAGCTGAACTCGGGGTCTGAACTGATTAATCTTTAAACATCAGATAGATTTCAGCTTTGCAACAAATATTCACATTAAATGTTTAATGAGCTGTATTCACTAAATGCTCCAAACATAATGTGACTCTCAATTATCAATCAAATTAAGGCCATTAGGATTATCAATCTCTGTAGCAGTGTGTTGGCGTGTGAATTAACAGAATTCAGTAGACATGGTTTACTTCCATTCATTTTAATAATGTTTATTTAATTTCATTTTTTGTTCTCTGGCTTTAGGGGAATGTCTCCCTGGTTTGCACTAATTTGAGTTTGTGTAATTTGTAAAGTGTTTAATTTGTAACTTTTATTGTGTGTGATTTCATTTGCCTTTGTTTTTTGTTTGTCTTTTTGTGTTTTTACTTTTTTTTTTTCGTTCTTTACAATAAAATGGTGACTCTATAATTGCAGTCGTCCTAATACCAGTCTGGCGTGGCTCCTGAACCCCCTGCGTATTGTGTGCGTGCTCGTATGGAGACAGTACAAATGGCACTTCTTCGGCTTGCTGCTGGGACTCATCATTTTGATCTTCATAGCCCTTTCGTTATATACCTTACCTGGGATTCTTAATGAAAGATTCATTAACCCTGGTAGATAAGCTTGCTATTGGCTGCTGTCAACGCATTTTGCATTGTGCCAGTTTTAGATTTTAGAAGGCAGGTTGGCATGATCAGGAACCAAACAATTTAGAGTTCAGCATGACATGTTTTCATATCAGGTGTATTATATTTGTCTCTGCCTTCTTATTTCCATCCCATATAAATAACTGTGTTGGTAACTGTAGATCTTTACGGGGGATGAAATGAAACTAACAGGTTTAGGAGTAATTCCTGTATGGATGAAGACCAGAGTCTTCTTTAAACTTGTAGTTAGCCCATTGATACATATTTTCTTTATGAATTGGAAAATGGGATAAGTTATACTGCTGGGGAAAATATTGTAAAGCTGTCACAACAGGAACGTTTTAACTTCTTTCAACTCATAAAGCAATGACTTTATAATCATATATCATACAGAAAAATTATATATTGAATTGCTTTAATTGTTATTACGATCTTGCTCACCTCCTCTAAAATGTTTCAGCGCTACCGCGCTCAGAGGTCTTTGGGCGTTACATTAATAAAACATCCACTATCAGTTGTCACCCTTTATTTTGAAACATTCCCCAAGCAGGAAATTCTCCCTAATGACATCGACGCGTTTTGAGGAAACACTGTCTGTATATAGGAATGATCGCTCGGCACTTGATTGGCAGGTGATTTAGGGAACAGAATTTAATATGGATTCTTGAATAAAATGTATATATTTACTAGTAATTCTACTAGCACAATGCATAGATGATTACATTTTTCTAAACTTTGACAGGTTGCTTTGTGGTAAACTTGTACAAAGAAGTAGATTTATGTAAAAAATGTTTAGGTGCAAAAAAAGAAGACTATAAACCTAAAAAGATAATTAGCAATTTGTAAGACACAGTCATAAACAGGGCCGGACTGGGGATGCAAAGCAGCCCTGGAAAAAAAATTTGTGCCAGCCCCATAATTCACTGCGCCATATATTGTCGCGTGTAATATGTAAGGCTATGTCTTGCCAGGACAGATGATTGAGTAATATATATATATATATTTATATATATTGCTTTTTCTAATATAAAATATTGGTCCTTTCAGGGTAAAACGTTTAATTATACAGTAAGCATACTCACATGCAGACACAGGCAATTTCACTGACATCTCAATGACACACACAAGCTCATTGATACCCAGCCTCATAGACAAACAATCTTACTGATATACATCAGCTCATTGACATAAAAACACAAGCTCACTCACTAGCAGGCACACGCATGCAAGCAAGCTCACTCACTAGCAGACGCACACACACAGCTTAATGTGGTGGTACTGGTGTCTATAGCATGTCCCTACAGGCTTTTCAACGTAAACACTGACTTTTCAGACAAAAGGCAGTGTTTACATTGCTTCAAAGTGACACTGCTAGTGACAGTCACTCAGACGGTCACTAGAGGTGCTTCCTGTGTTAGTGCACCTACATTCAGGGCCTCCACACTCTGTAGGTGCTGAACGTTCCCCATAGAGATACATTGATTCAATGCATCTCTATGAGGAGATGCTGATTGGAGTGGTGTTTTGCAGCCAATCCTATGGCAAAGCATTGATGATCTCAGCTATAGAGGCAGGGCCAGTCGAGGGGAGACCAGCACGCTGCGTGGTGAAAAAAAAGGTGAGCAAAAACACTATTTGTAAACACACATATACACCATGACAGACACAGAAACACACATATACCATGACAGATACACACCCCATGACAGACCCCCACACACACACACCATGACACAGACAGACACACATACCATGACACAGACAGATACACACACCATGACGGACAGACAGACACGCACCCAATGACTGACAGACACGCACCCCATGACGGACAGACACACACCCCATGACAGACAGACAAACACACACACCATGACACAGACAGATACACACACATACCATACAGACAGACACCATGACACAGACAGACACACACCCCATGACGGACAGACACACACACACACCCCATGACGGACAGACACACACACACACCCCATGACGGACAGACACGCACCCCATGACGGACAGACACACACACACACACCATGACACAGACAGACACACACACATACCATACAGACAGACACCATGACACAGACAGACAGACACACCATGATGGACAGACACACACACACACACCCCATGACGGACAGACACACACACACACACACGACACAGACACACACCATACAGACAGACACCATGACACACACACACACCCACCATACAGACAGACACACACCATACAGACACCATGACACAGACAGACACACACACACACCATAACAGACAGACAAACTCACACTGAAACATTACTAATACCTGCCAGGGGGAGGTCTTCTGGCGGCCGCTGGGGGACTTGTACTGGCGGCCGCTGGGGGAGCTGCGCTGGCTCTGCTCTCCCGCCCTCGCGCGCTGCTGAATGAGACCGGCGCCGGAATATGACGTCATATTCCGGCGCCGGTCTCATTCAGCTGCGTGCTGGGGAGCAGAGCCATGTAATCATCAGCTATAGAAGCGGTAGGCTACAGTTGACAAAGAAAACCCAGTATTTGTCAAATGTCTCCTAAATAGGATGACAAAAAAAGGGGGGTGGCCACCATAGGTTTTTAACACCATAACTACTACAATGAGCTGCTGCTTTATAGTGAACTGCAGTGCTTATGGTGTTTAGGATACCCAAGTGCCTAGCAATCACTGAAATCCCCACAATTTATTACATGGACAGTTGTGAAACTTTTTCAGTTTTTTACAGCATTGAATAGATATTAAAGTCCATGTTTACCAGAGATTTGCAATCACAACCTGTTCAGTGCCATTATTTTAATTCCATTATTATCATTAACATACATTGATATAGATATTAAATGCATTAGTTGTTAAAGACCCTGTTGAGGGTCTACTACCAGAGACTGTTCCAGTTTTGGACCTCAAACACTTTTTTCGGGGTGGTTCCACGTTGTCCTAGGTTTCAAGTCCATAAATTAAATGACTTTCAGTGATACCCCTGCGCATACATGGCTACATTAAGTAATATTGTGAAGTGTGCACACATTGAGCTGGCTAGCAGGCTGTGCCATCCCATTGTGCTATCTGCAGGTCAGCTTGCAGGCAGAATATTCTGATCTGTCCATTGTCAATGACACACCCCTGCTGAAATCATGCCAGTGATAAAACCCTGCCCCTGAGCAGCCAGGATCCGAGCTTCCTAAAGATCCGAGACATCATTAAGACAAATGCAAAGAATTCAGCTGTAATTAAAGAAATCCTCAGCAGAAACAACGTCGTTCCTTTGGAAACACCATAAACCAGACATACCTTTTCCCTCTGTAATTAGGCTAGGTAGCCTTAGTTATAGTAGTTGCACAGACTCCATCCCAACCGCTGCATGGCAGGAGATTGTGCACTAATTAAATATCCACAGACTGACGAGTTCTCAAATAGGATTGATACCACACTGCTGTCTGATAGAGTTGTGAACAAATTGATTGCTATGACGAATCAAATGCCTTTTAATCTGTGCCCCCACAAATCATTCTGTCTGTGATTAACGTCTTATTCAATAAATAAGGCTCAACTGGTAAATCCCAGATCGATTAAAAGGCATTTGATTCGTTTGTAGCAGCTGAAACTGTTTTATGCACAAGTTTACTATCTAATACAATTTGCTTCTGGCAACACTTGTGCTTATTTCAATATAAAAAGTTTAACTATGGACATTTCTTATATTAATTAGAATAAAAATGGTTTTACCCTTTTAATGGTACAGAATGGGTAGGGGAAATAAAATGATATACCGCTTGCACAACCAACAGCGATTGCACACTACAAATCATTTCACTTAGTACTATAAAAATAGAATTTTAAAAACCGCTAAAAACAAAATTGTTCGTTTGGTACAATGCAAGAAAATAAACTGAAAGTGACACATCCAACCCAGTGACATACTACAATGTATGGTCGAAAACAGTAGGAAGACGCTACTGGTTCTGACATGGTATATTATAACAAAGCACACACAGCGCACACAAACCATGAGAAACATCTAATGTCTCAGGAAATTAGCAGAAGTGGGGCACAACAAATGGTTATATTGTAAACCGTCCTGGGCCATCCTTCCTATTTGGTTTTTATGTATATATTAATGATTGCTTTCCTTGGGTCAGGTATTCCATTCCTCTATTCACTGATGCCCCATAGCAAGAGTTCCGGGACGTTTGTAAGTATTTAATAGTCTGGGCGGAGGCATAGTGTAGACAGCGAAAATAATTGTATTGTGCAAATAGATTCGGCCAGGAAAAAAACAAAAAACTTCAGGTTGTCCAAAACATGTTCATACGGCGTTTCGAATCAGACCAATTTCGCCCACGCGAACAATTTAGGGAAAACAATTAGGACAAATCAAAAATGGTGCAAAATTGGCAAGCGTACTGCAAAATATAATGTATATGTTCTAATGTATATATTTTACAGTGCACTGCTAGGCGCATTCGTGCATCATTTAATGCACAGATTAACCGAGATGCAGTAACCAGTACAGGGAAAAAGAGAAGGAGCAGTGAAAAATCGATATTTATTAAATATATAATATATAAATATAGGCATTTTTACCTCCATTGAATCACTTCTCACTTGCTCTGTGAATAAAATCAACATTTAGTGGCTGTCCACTGACCATCTGTTTTTCCATCAAACATCTTTTTTGGCGCCATGGAGAGAACTCAGAATCATGAAACAAACTAAACAGTTCGTCCATTGTCCGTTTTGTTTCATGATTCATTAACCTGCTGTTCCGGATTTATAGAATTCAGTCATCCGATCATATCAAATTTGGCCGAATTGCAATTTGTTTGGAATCAAACGCAGAAATCTAGTATAGTGTGGAGGAAGCAGGATAATACAAACATTGTGTTTTAAACCGTCTTAAAAAACTTAAAATGTATGTATTTTGTCAGCTCACGATTCCTTTATATCTTGGTATAAATCTGTGGTCCCTATTAAATCATGCATGTTCTGGGCCTGGCAAGTGTTGTCCTTTTCCAATTGATAATAGCACCCAGCAGAGACTGGATGAAGATGTAGGATTGAAAGTAAAAGCTGTAGGGAGATTTTGATAATTAAAACTTTATTTCCAAACCTTTCGTTTTTTACTTTAAACCTCAAACGAAAAGCACAAAATAGGGCAGGGAAGGCCAGTGGTTTTTGCATTTTAGATATGCTGGATGGACTGCAACCCCAACGATCCTCCTTCATTTAGAAGTTAACTAGATACTTTGGGCGTTGCAGAACAAGACAGGCTGGGAAGCTTAAAACAACTGGCTAAAATTAAGAAAGAAGATGTTTAAATTCACTATTTTTCTAAATCTGTGTTTTGTATTTAAAGCATGAATGTTTTCACCCATTAACAATGTATTAAAATAAAAAAAATAAAAAACATGGTCAGTGTTTTTCTTCTCTCGAAACCACACACATTAGGATGTTATTTTCACGGCTAAAATGCAGTCAGTAAGTATTCTCTGTTGAATTTAAGTTTAACCCATTGAACACTGTGTTAATCACTGATGATTGTGATTAGTGATGCAGATTGTTTTCACCATACAGAAGTCATTTTATAAACTTTTATTAAAATGCCTTCAATAAACCTCTTTTAATATGTTTACAGAGTTGGTTACCTTAAATCAGACATTGGTTCTGCAAACCTTGGAAATTACAATTATTATGCCCTAAATTTCAATGTGAACCATAAATAAATAAATCTGACAGCATGGATCACTCACTTCTGCATTGACACACACAGATTGCACGGCACACGCAGCTACGACGCAATATGTGTACAATACGTCAAAAGTGTCAACATACTCCATGTAAAATACCCTGTGTTGCTTTATTATAACTTGTACACGTGGGGTTTATTTGAATTGGTAGCCATCTAGAATGTTACAATGTCAGGAAGAGCAATCACTCCAAATTTTACATTCGTCCTACGCAAAAATGTCAATCCAGCATGTGGTGCCATTGCTGTGCTCAGAGGATATAGCCCAACATTTAATTCTAAATACTTTTTGCAGTTTAATAGGATTCTCACAAGCTTTCAGCCATGATGTAATGTATATGTTATAACTAAAAAAAAAACAATATTCCAAAACGCAGAACTTGCTGGAAAGCAAATGTCGAAATACATGTGACGTACTTTGGACTGTCCAATATACAGTGTGGACTATTACATTTACAGTCTCAGAATACTGCATGAGAACAGTTTCACCGTATGCCGGAGGACAAAGGGGGAGACCTTTAAGAGGCTGATTTGATGGAAGACAGAGGAGGAGTATCTGCTGGTCATTCTCAGCCAGTGAGTTAAGCCCAGCTTTGGAACTTCCGTCTCTCTGGCATTGCTAAATTGATAAAGGTAAAAAGTCAAACCTGAGTAGCAGTGGTTATAGTGTTCAGAGTGTTCTTGCTAAATAAACTGAATGTTACTAAATAAATGGAGTCTCTCCTACATTCACTGCTCCTACATACACACTTGCATTTTGACAAACACTAAAGCTCACAGTGCACCTCATCCTAAAACTTGCTCCCATCATGCAACACTCATTATATAAAGCAAACATCCGCTGTATTCGACTTCTTAGTATTTTATTGAGGAGGACACACAAACATTTCACACGTGTAAGCATGATGACAGTCTGTTGGACTTCCTTAGTAATGAGAAATGGGTTCAGTTCTTGGAAAACTCAACTCGAAGCATCTGCGTGGGTGGGATTTCCAGTTCTGTATTGACCTTTATTAAAATGGTTGAGAATATTAGTAACGCAAGCAAGAAAAGTACAAAAAATACTTAGAAAAGACACTCATTCGCTAATTAGTGGGGTAACAGCTGCTTGATCCAAGGAGACATCTGACTGCTATTTTGGGGTCAGAAGGGATTTTTTTTCCTAGTTTGTTGCAAAATTGGAAGCGCTTCAGACTGGATTTTTTTTGCCTTCTTTTGGATCAACCGCAAAAATCTAATTTGAGGAAGGCTGAACTTGATGGACGCAAGTCTCTTTTCAGCTATGTAACTATGTAACTAAGTTTGTGGAAAGAAAATATTTTTAGATACATTTAATGAAAAGCAAAACGAATCCTAGAGCTTATGGTCATGATCACAAAAAGACATAAATAATATGAAAGCTGTACTGTCTGTACTTTATTTTTTAATTTAAAGGAACACTATAGGGTCAGGAACACAACCATGTATTGCTGACCCTATAGTGTTAAAACACCATCTAGCTCCCTCCCCGCCCCCACCCCCAGCCCCTCTAAATATAGTAAAATCTTACATTTATTCCAGTGTACTGCTGCTGGCTCTATCCCTGGTCTGCCTGCTTGGCCTACATCATCAGAAGTGTAGATCGTTCCAATAGGAAATCATTGGATTGGCGCAGCTTGTCAAGGAGGCAGAGCCAGCACAAACCAAACACCGCCCTGGCCATTCAGCATCTCCTCATAAAGATACATTGAATCAATGCATCTCTATGAGGAAAGTTCAGTGTCTCCATGCAGAGGGTGGAGACCCTGAATGTCAGTCACACTGTGCAGCACTGCCCCAGGAAGCACCTCTTGTAGCCATTTGAGGAGTGGCCAGTGGACTAATCACTATGCTGTAATGTAAACACTGCATTTTCTCTGAAAAACAGTGTTTACAGCAAAAAGCCTGAAGGGCTCACCAGAACAAATTCAATAAGCTGTAGTTGTTCTGGTGACTATAGTGTCGCTTTAATTCATACAATGTTTCTTAAAAATGCAGTGCTTAAACTTGGCCAACAACATGCATTTTATGGATGTCAGACAAACAACCACTAGAGCCTCCTCCTTTAAGACAATTTTCGAAGCTCTTCACGCACAGTACAGTGCTGCCGACCAAGGTTAACTCTTCTCATAGAGAAACATGTGATTGGATTGTTTATTTTGACATCGGGATTTTTAACATTAGCGTATTGCTATAAGAATCGCACTCAGTCTGCCAGAATAGTAACAGTAATTGAGTGGCTGCAAGGTTGATATTGAAGATACATTTAGTATATAAAAGACATTAAGTTGTAGTGAAAGATAATTAAAGTATTACATTTAAGGTAGAAAATGATATGAATTCATACCTTAGATTTTAGGTACTGGTGCAGGAGCATCCGCAGCTCAGTGTTCTGCTGTCTGAGACCCGATGTCTCCTTTATCAGCTGTGATCGGCTGCTCAAGACATCACTAATAAACCAGACATGGGTTAGACGGGGGGAAGCTTGTAAGGGAAACTACAGGAGAAAATGTCAACCTAAGAATGGCTGTCAGTCATGAGTGTAAACCAAAATAACTTAACCCAGACACTGCTGCATCTTCCAAAGTTTGAATCATGGCAGCCAGTGGTACTTACTGATACTTTTGCAGTGCGGACTCCAAAGCTTCCCACACCTTGAGCCGAGATTCAGGGATTATGTGAGCAGCTGCAGACCAGTAAGCCGCATCCTCACTTGCATCACGTTCTTCCAGCCCAGCCAGTCGCGACAGTGCAAGTTTCTCCCTGAAACCCATTTATCACGCACAAATAGTTCAGAAACCTAATTCGGTAGAGTTTGCAAATCCCTGCCTAGTGATTGTTACCAGGTGCAGTTTAAATGATATACACGCAATTTTAGGCCAGTGTGAACATTTATTCAAGCTAGATGCAAGAAGGTCCATGCAACAATTTAATTACAAAAAACATACAAAAGGCTTGAAAGTTTCACCCCAAATCTTTCCTCAAATCTCTAATCGCAGATAGATTAATGTGCCAAATTACTGAAGGTGCACGTTCCCAGTCAGTTATTAACACTTAATACCCAGCTCCCTGTCCATTGACACAGTATGCCCAGCTCCCTGTCCATTGACTCAGAATGCCCAGCTCCCTGTCCATTGACTCAGAATGCCCAGCTCCCTGTCCATTGACTCAGAATGCCCAGCTCCCTGTCCATTGACTCAGTATGTGGACATTGAACGCTAGTCGCCTGCCTTGACCTATGTACCTTCTGAACTCCATTTTGCCCTGTCCTTCTTGTTTTAAAGTGCTGACAGGCCCTGTACAGTTTCACACAGTTTTATTTCCACACTTCCTAGACAGTGTGTGAGTGTGTGCAGTGTGTGAGTGTGCAGTGTGTGTGTGCAGTGTGTGAGTGTGCAGTGTGTGTAGTGTGTGAGCATGCAATGTGTGTGTGCGCAGTGTATATATGTGCAGTCATTGACAGGACTGGAAACAAACCTTGATACACGGCATTCCAACAGAAAGGCACGGAGAGCACGTATCACATCATTAGGGTGAATAAGGGCGCTGGTTTGAGGCCGGCTTTCTCCAGCATCGCTATCAGGGCTGGTATCATTTGAATCTCTATCTTCCTCCTCAAACACATAACACACACAATGGAAATCAGAGGAGTTTTACAGATGTTTTCTCCATGTGACTTCACTATAGGTAAAAGACGCACTGGCTAAAGAGGTCATCAGCCAATGGACAGATCATAAAAAAATAATCCTGTATTTATATTCCCCTCCACCATCAGTTTTCGGGTGTTTCGTAAAATGCTATTTCAGTTTTTACTGGTGTGAATATTGCAATGGAAGAAAGTAAAAAAGCAATAAACACTTAGTTAGCTCCACTGCACTTGTTGTGGCAACTTCCCTGTCCCATGATGCCTCAGGTATTCGTGTGAAAAATCTGGCATCACGTCCCGGCACAGGAAGCGAGTGACTGACTGGCTATATCGAGCAGGGGATCATAGAGTTATAGTCTAGGCACAGGAAGCGAGTGACTGACTGGCTATATCGAGCAGGGGATCATAGAGTTATAGTCTAGGCACAGGAAGCGAGTAACTGACTGGCTATATCGAGCAGGGGATCATAGAGTTATAGTCTAGGCACAGGAAGCGAGTGACTGACTGGCTATATCTAGCAGAGGATCATAGAGTTATAGTCTAGGCACAGGAAGCGAGTGACTGACTGGCTATATCGAGCAGGGGATCATAGAGTTATAGTCCAGGCACAGGAAGAGAGTGACTGACTAGCTAGATCGAGCAGGGGATCATAGAGTTATAGTCTAGGCACAGGAACGAGTGACTGACTGGCTATATCGAGCTGGGGATCATAGAGTTATAGTCTAGGCACAGGAAGCGAGTGACTGACTGGCTATATCGAGCAGGGGATCATAGAGTTATAGTCTAAGCACAGGAAGCGAGTGACTGACAGGCTATATCGAGCAGGGGATCATAGAGTTATAGTCTAGGCACAGGAAGCGAGTAACTGACTGGCTATATCGAGCAGGGGATCATAGAGTTATAGTCTAGGCACAGGAAGCGAGTGACTGACTGGCTATATCGAGCAGGGGATCATAGAGTTATAGTCTAGGCACAGGAAGCGAGTGACTGACTGGCTATATCGAGCAGGGGATCATAGAGTTAAGGTCTAGGCACAGGAAGCGAGTGACTGACTGGCTATATCGAGCAGGGGATCATAGAGTTATAGTCTAGGCACAGGAAGCGAGTAACTGACTGGCTATATCGAGCAGGGGATCATAGAGTTATAGTCCAGGCACAGGAAGCGAGTGACTGACAGGCTATATTGAGCAGGGGATCATAGAGTTATAGTCTACGCACAGGAAGCGAGTGACTGACTGGCTATATCGAGCAGGGGATCATAGAGTTATAGTCAAGGCACAGGAAGCGAGTGACTGACTGGCTATATCGAGCAGGGGATCATAGAGTTATAGTCTAGGCACAGGAAGCGAGTGACTGACTGGCTATATCGAGCAGGGGATCATAGAGTTATAGTCCAGGCACAGGAAGCGAGTAACTGACTGGCTATATCGAGCAGGGGATCATAGAGTTGTAGTCCAGGCACAGGAAGTGAGTCACAGAATGACTATATTGAGCAGGGGATCATAAAGTTGTAGTTCATGCACAGTAAGTGGGTCACTGATTGGCTGCATGTCTGGACAGTCATCGTCCATGTTTATAGATTCCTTCTATGCGTCTGGTTAATCAATATTAATGAAGTATCTTACCTGTGTTAACGTTTGCTCTTTGTATTTTAAGAAAAATTCCACGAGTTTGTACACATCGTCTTCCACTTCAATTCCAAGGGCCTGGAAGGATCATGATATCAGTGATGGATTGTATTCAGATATTCCAGTTACATTGAATGAGGGCATTGTATGTATTGTGTTATACAGGCAGATACACACAGGTTAGGCATGTACGATGTATGTTGTGTAATTGTGTTATACAAAGAGATACAAGTCCTTAAAGGTTATATATATTGTGTTAAACAGAGAGAGAGACTAGTACGTATACATAAATATATCGTACCAAAGCAGTATACAGACAGTCGTACATGTACAGGCAAACAATATGTACGGCTCTATATGGAAATATGCAAAGAGTAAAGTACATATAACCAGTTTTAATCTGAGCCTCACAGACGTTACAGACAAGTCAAACATATCCAATATAGCTACAGATGGAATAGGCGAGTGTCCCTTTCACATCTGCTAGCTGGAAGACTTACCCCAAAAATGGAGTCCAGCTTTATGAGAGAGCTCTCGTTTTTTTCCAATGGGGAGAGCAAATGAATGAGTCTGCTCTCGAGAAGGAAACCCTGGCAAGGAGACAGGATATTCCAGGTTATATAGGAATAGGAATCATTACAATCATGTAGAAATCGGTTTGAAAAGCGAATACATCATTTGTTATTAAATAACTGTGTTGGCATACTGTAACAAGAATGGTAAAACTCGATTGTGAGTGAAATTCTTAGAATTTGTTTTGTGTGAAAAAAACACCGAAGTAATTGGAGCTGATCACTGATCATATCACAGAATTAGTGAATTGTATAAAATAGATACAAAGTGCAAACAAAATAATAACAATAATAATGGAAAAGGCCATTTGTTTGAGGCTTCTGCAGCAAACTTTCCATGAGGCGTCTGAAACTCGTCCGCCAACTCTAATCCACTATGGTTTTAATTGCTTGTGTTCCACTTATCCCATGAACCCTTCCAAAGTTTTCTCCTGAAGCTATACAGCCTGTGTCGAATCGAGACATGATTAGAATCATTCATGAATTGCCATGGGTACAGCTGATCTTTCTTCATTATATTTTACAAACAAAACACATGTCCACCTGCTACAAGCTGCCGATGTATAAGCTCTACCAGAGAAAGCTATAATATAGCACACACAGCCGATGAGGATCCCCTGAGTACGCATACTGACGCCTCGTGCTTCGATTTCTCATAATCACCGTTTTATTATTAAAGATTTAAATTGTAATGTGCTGAAAACTGAATTGCAAAAATTCACAGACAAGATGAGGAAAATAGCACAGTGTTCAATACATCGTATTATCCCGAAATCTATCGGACCAGGGTTTTTAACTGGTAATAATACGGAACCACCAGTTCAGACCTCGGGAGGAAGCGCTCTCCCACAACACACACATTTACTCCGTAGCAAAACTTGAAACCTTTTAAGCTGAAACTTCTTCAATAAAACTGACTTGCTGAGTCTTGAATTTCTTGCCATACTTTTTCGAGTGCCGGGACTTTTTACAGGAAAAAAGTCAGGCAAAATATTCAAACTGTAACAAGCTTAGTTGTATAATTTCAAAGCCAGCTAATTTCCCTTTTATTTGGATACTCATTCAAAAGTTTGTTACAATTTACTGTTTAATGAATTAACTTCAAAGTCTAAACCAGCTCAAAAACACGAAATGCCACCTATGAGGTCACTGCTCTAGGGCACCTTCTCTGTAGGCAGACACTGAATGCCACCTAGGAGGTCACTGCTCTAGGGCACCTTCTCTGTAGGCAGACACTGAATGCCACCTAGGAGGTCACTGCTCTAGGGCACCTTCTCTGTAGGCAGACACTGAATGCCACCTAGGAGGTCACTGCTCTAGGGCACCTTCTCTGTAGGCAGACACTGAATGCCACCTAGGTGCTCTAGGGCACCTTCTCTGTAGGCAGACACTGAATGCCACCTAGAGGTCACTGCTCTAGGGCACCTCTCTGTAGGCAGACACTGAATGCCACCTAGGAGGTCACTGCTCTAGGGCACCTTCTCTGTAGGCAGACACTGAATGCCACCTAGGAGGTCACTGCTCTAGGGCACCTTCTCTGTAGGCAGACACTGAATGCCACCTAGGAGGTCACTGCTCTAGGGCACCTTCTCTGTAGGCAGACACTGAATGCCACCTGGGAGATCACTGCTCCTAGGGCACCTTCTCTGTGAGGCGGGCACTGGAAGTGCTGCCTGGTGGCCAGGCACTTCTCTATAGGCAGACGCTGAATGCCACCTAGCAGGTCACTGCTCTAGGGCACCTTCTCTGTAGGCAGACACTGAATGCCACCTAGGAGGTCACTGCTCTAGGGCACCCTCTCTGTAGGCAGACACTGAATGCCACCCAGGAGGTCACTGCTCTAGGGCACCTTCTCTGTAGGCAGACACTAATTGCCACCTAGGAGGTCACTGCTCTAGGGCACCCTCACTGTAGGCAGACACTGAATGCCACCTAGGAGGTCACTGCTCTAGGGCACCTTCTCTGTAGCAGACACTGAATGCCACCTAGAAGGTCACTGCTCTAGGGCACCTTCTCTGTAGGCAGACACTGAATGCCACCTAGGAGGTCACTGCTCTAGGGCACCTTCTCTGTAGGCAGACACTGAATGCCACCTAGGAGGTCACTGCTCTAGGGCACCTTCTCTGTAGGCAGACACTGAATGCCACCAAGGAGGTCACTGTTCTAGGGCACCTTCTCTGTAGGCAGACACTGAATGCCACCTAGCAGGTCACTGCTCTAGGGCACCTTCTCTGTAGGCAGACACTGAATGCCACCTAGGAGGTCACTGCTCTAGGGCACCTTCTCTGTAGGCAGACACTGAATGCCACCTAGGAGGTCACTGCTCTAGGGCACCTTCTCTGTAGGCAGACACTGAATGCCACCAAGGAGGTCACTGTTCTAGGGCACCTTCTCTGTACAGACACTGAATGACACCTAGGAGGTCACTGCTCGGGGGCACCTTCTCTGTAGGCAGATACTGAATGCCACAAGGAGGTCACTGCTCTAGAGCACCTTCTCTGTAGGCAGACACTGAATGCCACCAAGGAGGTCACTGCTCTAGAGCACCATCTCTGTAGGCAGACACTGAATGCCTTGTAGAAGGTCACTGCTCTAGGTGAACATCAAGTCCCGCAATGACAGGACACCCAGCCCAAAACTCGTCCTTTACCGATTCATCGCTGAGAAGTTCCAGAATCTGTTTCACTGTCCTGGCAGAGAATGGTGGATAAGGCTCGGCCTGGCTGCTTCCATCACTAATATTCTGCCCATCCCCAAGTGGCGGCATGGAACCATCTGCTGCAAGCAAGAGAAATAAAGTCACAAATAATGGTATTTACAAATAAAATAATTACAGCAAAACCAGCATCCTGCACAAACATACTACACACAGTATATGGTAAATAATGCTCCATAGCAAACAATGTATCATATTATATTGCTACGATGCCACACTGCCTGTGGATGTTGTAAATGAGGTGGTGAAAAAGTAAAACAATGAAATAGTATAGGTAATTTCTAACAGGTTTTAATTTGCTAAATTTTTAATTTTTTTACTGCTTTTTCTTGAAACATTTTGTAATATGATAACATCTATCCATGTATTTATTACGCTAGCAAATATATTTCTTAAATAAACAAGAAAGTTAAAATTATATTCAAATGATTTAGATAACTGAGCCACCATTTTAAATTAAAAAAAACACACACAAAAAAAAAAATTGTAATCCAGCAAAGATTAATCTATTTATAAATGCTGCGTTTTCACAGAACACTCTTGAGATTAAATCTTTATTCGGATCAGAGATGTTTCTCGTGTTTTTTGTGGACGTCAAACAAATATGTGGGGTCTCCAAACAAGAATACTTAGTATTGCAACACATTTGAAATGTACCTTTTTTGATTAGTTAGTAGCTATTAATTAATCTGTAAAGCATTATTTATATGATTTGATGTATGATTTTTTTATATCATGTTTAGTTGCTCTCTAAGAGAATCCACAATTTAATCTGCTTTATTATTTAAATGAACCTCTTCATAGAAAATCACAGAAAGAAATAACACACGTCCTTCCTACCTGACGATGCCATCACTTCCTGTGCCAGCATGCTGGCTGTCTTCTTCACCTTCTCCTGACGCACCAGAGGTCCAACATTGTCCATGAATGAAAGGTCAGGGGCTTTCCAGGGCAGACCCAGCTGCTGCTCATGGATAATACGGTCAGAATCCAGAGCTCGAATCACCAGCTCCTTCATCTCCTCTTCATTCATCAGCCAGATATCAGTGAATTTCTTTTCATCCACTATGGCGAAATGCCTGTCAAACAAATCAAGATCAGGGCTCTCACTGAACACAACAATAAGTACATACAATGTCTAGCAATATAATGCATTACAGAACTGTATGAGACAAGGCCTGAGAGAATCCTCCTTCCAAAGGCAGCCAGAAGATCCTTTAAACATAATATACAGACATGATGAACTGGCTCCACTGAGATTTACAGTCCCTTAATAAACTTCATTGGTGGTTTGCTCGGGTGGATCGGTTGTCATGGTAGAGAGTTGTTAATAAAACTGCAATATGATGCTTTGTAAGCATGAGCAGGGGTCTCAAAGTACCGGCCTGCGAGCCATTTCATGCCAACCAAACACTGTTATGAGGTCTATCCTCCATCAGGGTTGCAGTTGTCTAAGATGGATGACCAGCTGTGGGACAGTGTTTGCCTGTGCTGTGAGCTCCAGCTAGCCTCATTACTAAAGTTACAGCATTCTGCAGTCATTGGCGAGATCTTCAATGTCAATTGCCAAATCCTGCCGCCAAATCCTGCCGCTCTCATCTGAAAAATATAATGTCAGAAGCGGCTATGGTGCTGGTCCATGCCACTATCTTCTCTCATCTTAACTACTGCAATCCACTCATAAATGGTCTCACACATTCGTAGTTGGCCCAGTTACAGTCTATAATGAATGTGGCGGTAAGGCTCATCTCTCTGGACGCCCACACCTCCAACGGCTCCACCCTCAGACAGTTCTTACATTGGCTTCCCATAAAATATAGGCCTTAATTTACAATTCCGGTGCTTAGTTACAAATCTCTACATAACACTGCTCCTACCTACCTATTCTCCCATCCTGCACCTTTCAAATATGTCCTAAATACATATAAAGGGCCCTTTTTTTTTTTGGCCATATTTCAGAGCTGCAACATCACTGGAGTGCCCAAAAGCACAAGGTGTGCAATACTCAGAGACATGGCCAAGGTAAGAAAGGCTGAAAGACGACCACCACTGAACAAGACACACAAGCTGAAACATCAAGACTGGGCCAAGAAATATCTCAAGACTGATTTTTCTAAGGTTTTATGGACTGATGAAATGAGAGTGAGTCTTGATGGGCCAGATGGATGGGCCCGTGGCTGGATTGGTAAAGGGCAGAGAGCTCCAGTCCGACTCAGACGCCAGCAAGGTGGAGGTGGAGTACTGGTTTGGGCTGGTATCATCAAAGATGAGCTTGTGGGGTCTTTTCGGGTTGAGGATGGAGTCAAGCTCAACTCCCAGTCCTACTGCCAGTTCCTGGAAGACACCTTCTTCAAGCAGTGGTACAGGAAGAAGTCTGCATCCTTCAAGAAAAACATGATTTTCATGCAGGACAATGCTCCATCACACGCGTCCAAGTACTCCACAGCGTGGCTGGCAAGAAAGGGTATAAAAGAAGAAAATCTAATGACATGGCCTCCTTGTTCACCTGATCTGAACCCCATTGAGAACCTGTGGTCCATCATCAAATGTGAGATTTACAAGGAGGGAAAACAGTACACCTCTCTGAACAGTGTCTGGGAGGCTGTGGTTGCTGCTGCACGCAATGTTGATGGTGAACAGATCAAAACACTGACAGAATCCATGGATGGCAGGCTTTTGAGTGTCCTTGCAAAGAAAGGTGGCTATATTGGTCACTGATTTGTTTTTGTTTTGTTTTTGAATGTCAGAAATGTATATTTGTGAATGTTGAGATGTTATATTGGTTTCACTGGTAATAATAAATAATTGAAATGGGTATATATTTGTTTTTTGTTAAGTTGCCTAATAATTATGCACAGTAATAGTCACCTGCACACACAGATATCCCCCTAACATAGCTATAACTAAAAACAAACTAAAAACTACTTCCAAAAATATTCAGTTTTGATATTAATGAGTTTTTTGGGTTCATTGAGAACATGGTTGTTCAATAATAAAATTAATCCTCAAAAATACAACTTGCCTAATAATTCTGCACTCCCTGTATTTTGTGAAGCTACAGTGCCATATAGGAGACCAAGCCATATCCGTTTTTACCGAACTTTGAATTTTGACGCTGGGCCTATGTGCAATTTCCAAGCATCTTCGCAGGTTTTAAATTCAAACTACCCCACAAAGGCCTACCATTTCTTAAAGTAGACACCCCAGGGTATTTCAAAAGGTATATTTTGAACCTTAGCGTGGGATCATTTTTCCGCTAGCTTGTACCAGGTGTAGTGGTAATAAGCGTTTTTTCTGCCTTTTGACATACAAAGTGAGTTTGCACAGTATATTTTGCAAACCTTATGTGTGCTACGACTGTATAATACTTCATATGTTGCTCAGCTATGTCGGCTGAGTACAGCAATACCCCCGTATGTACCTTTGCCAGGTATATGTGGATGTTGAAGGGGCGCATTTGAGACGCAGCCATTCAGTTTTTTTCTAACTTTGAAGTTTTACGCTGTGTCCATGTTCCAATTTGGAGTAGTTTAGACGGTTGGTTATTGACTTCCCCACAAACACATACTATTTATTAAAGAACACACTCTGGGGTAATTCAAAAGGCATATTTTGAACCTTGGCGTGGGATAATTTTTTCTCTAGTTTGTTCCAGGTGTAGTGGTAATGAGCGTTTTTAAAATGTATTTTTTTACTTTTTATAACTTTTTTACTTTTAAAAACTAGTTTTTAAACTTTTGTTTTGCTTATTAATTTTTTTTAAACTTTCCTAAACTTTCTTAAAACTTTTTTACAGATTTAACATTTTTCTAAGCTTTTTTTTTTACCGTTAACCCCTAACTAGCAGTACGCAGCACTAACAGTAAATTCCTCATTTTCCCATAACTCCCACCCACCCCAGCTAGCAAAATATATAGTTATAAAATATTTAAATTAATTAATTAAATAAATTGAACCCCTGAGGGTTAAAAAATAAATAAAAGTTAATCCTCAGGGGTTAAAAAAAATTAGATCACAGTATAATACTGTGATCTGTATTTGATCACTGTAGGCAGTGATCGACTGGCAGGGAAGGGGTTAATTTTTATTTGGACTAGGTAAAGGGTTTTTTTTTTATTTTTTACTTAAACGTTATTAAAACATTTTTTAAGCTTAATTTTTAACTTTTTAAAGTTTATTTTAAAACTTTTTTTAACGTTAACCCCTAGTTAGCCTAACGCCAAATCCCCCAATTCCCCACTAACTTCCACCCCAGCTAGCTAAATATATAATTTTAAAATATTTTAATTAATTAATTAAATAAATTTAACCTCTGAGGGTTAAAAAAAAAAAAAAATCAGATCATAGTAAAATGTAATCCCTGCCAATTGATCACTGTAGTCAGTGATCAATTGGCAGGGGAGGGGTTATTTTTTTATTAAAATGGGTAAAGGGGGGTGGGATTTTAAATGAAATTTTTTTTTTTTTCCAACAGGGGGCAGGATCATCACTGTTCCGACTCCCTGCACTTCACACAGAACCAGGAAGTGCAGGGAGACGAAAGGTAAGTATACTAAGCACATGTGCTCGCTCTGACATGCGTTCAGAGCGAGCACATGTGCTGGGCAACCTGATCGGGTGCTCCCGGTCTGCCTCTAATACAGAGGCAGACCGGAGCACCATTAACCCCGCGATTGCTGCAATAGCGGCGATCCGGGGTTAATTTTACCTCATGACGGACAAGGTCCGTCACTCGTCATTAAGGGTTTCCCCTGAGTGACGGACCTCGTCCGTCACTCGTCCTGAAGGGGTTAAATAAAAATTATTTTTGTGATTGTACTTTCAAGTGTGCATAGTTCCAATAGTACATCTGTAGTTCTAACTTGACTTCGGGAGCCAGGGACCCTCAGGGAACTTGAAACACCCCCTCTGGTTGAGTGTATCAGAGGGGGAGATTTAACAATTACAAATATTTACCAGAACAATAGGCTGATGAGGGCCCTGCTCAAACGAGCTTACAGTCTATAGGATTGTTGTTTTGGTATTGTCCAATTCCGATCCATATTTACCTTCTATTACATTTGATGTTTCGAAAAAAATGTGTTAAAAATATACAAAGGGTTCAGACTTTTGTCCATATTTACCAAGTATTTTGGAGAGATGGTGCGGCCAGAGGACAAGATCTCTGTTCTCTCACTGTAAGCACAGAAAGTACCTTGGAAAGCAGACAACTTACCTCATTTTCTTCTGAAGCTCCTTGTACTGATCTACAATCCGCTTCAAGTCGTCTGTCAGCGCCTGGTTATCATCCTTGCCCTGTTTTATTTGCTTGTCTAACTTTATTCTCAGGTTATTAAGGGCGTCCTGTAAGCTAAAGAAAAGAAAGTGTCAGCAGGAATAGAGATCAGATAATGTCTGAAATGAGAAATCTACAGCCGGATATAAACCTATTTACAGTAACTATAGCTCCCGATGGACAATGACAGGGAATTTACATGGAATGAGAAATCTACAGCCGGATATAAACCTATTTACAGTAACTATAGCTCCCGATGGACAGGCACAGGGAATTTACATGGAATGAGAAATCTACAGCCGGATATAAACCTATTTACAGTAACTATAGCTCCCGATGGACAATGACAGGGAATTTACATGGAATGAGAAATCTACAGCCGGATATAAACCTGTTTACAGTAACTATAGCAACCGATGGATAATCACAGGGAATTTACATGGAATGAGAAATCTACAGCCGGATATAAACCTATTTACAGTAACTATAGCTCCCAATGGACAATCACAGGGAATTTACATGGAATGAGAAATCTACAGCCGGATATAAACCTATTTACAGTAACTATAGCTCCCGATGGACAGGCACAGGGAATTTACATGGAATGAGAAATCTACAGCCGGATATAAACCTATTTACAGTAACTATAGCTCCCGATGGACAGGCACAGGGAATTTACATGGAATGAGAAATCTACAGCCGGATACAAACCTATTTACAGTAACTATAGCTCCCGATGGACAGGCACAGGGAATTTACATGGAATGAGAAATCTACAGCCGGATATAAACCTATTTACAGTAACTATAGCTCCCGATGGACAGGCACAGGGAATTTACATGGAATGAGAAATCTACAGCCGGATATAAACCTATTTACAGTAACTATAGCTCCCGATGGACAGGCACAGGGAATTTACATGGAATGAGAAATCTACAGCCGGATATAAACCTATTTACAGTAACTATAGCTCCTGATGGACAGGCACAGGGAATTTACATGGAATGAGAAATCTACAGCCGGATATAAACCTATTTACAGTAACTATAGCTCCCGATGGACAATGACAGGGAATTTACATGGAATGAGAAATCTACAGCCGGATAAAAACCTATTTACAGTAACTATAGCTCCCGATGGGTAATCACAGGGAATTTACATGGAATGAGAAATCTACAGCCGGATATAAACCTATTTACAGTAACTATAGCTCCCGATGGACAGGCACAGGGAATTTACATGGAATGAGAAATCTACAGCCGGATATAAACCTATTTACAGTAACTATAGCTCCCGATGGACAGGCACAGGGAATTTACATGGAATGAGAAATCTACAGCCGGATATAAACCTATTTACAGTAACTATAGCTCCCGATGGACAGGCACAGGGAATTTACATGGAATGAGAAATCTACAGCCGAATATAAACCTATTTACAGTAACTATAGCTCCTGATGGACAGGCACAGGGAATTTACATGGAATGAGAAATCTACAGCCTTATATAAACCTATTTACAGTAACTATAGCTCCCGATGGACAGGCACAGGGAATTTACATGGAATGAGAAATCTACAGCCGGATATAAACCTATTTACAGTACCTATAGCTCCCGATGGACAGGCACAGGGAATTTACATGGAATGAGAAATCTACAGCCGGATATAAACCTATTTACAGTAATTATAGCTCCCATGGACAGGCACAGGAATCTCCATATGGAATGAGAAATCTACAGCCGATATAAACCTATTTTACAGTAACTATAGCCCCGATGGACAATGACAGGGAATTTACATGAATGAGAAATCTACAAAATGATATAAACCTATTTACAGTAACTATAGGTCCCGGCGGGACAGGCACAGGAATTTACATGGAATGAGAAATCTACAGCCGGATATAAATCTATTTACAGCAACTATAGCTCCCGATGGACAGGCACAGGGAATTTACATGGAATGAGAAATCTACAGCCGGATACAAACCTATTTACAGTAACTATAGCTCCCGGCGGATGTAGGCATAGGAATTTACATGGAATGAGAAATCTACAGCCGATATATAAACCTATTTTACAGTAACTATAGCTCCCGGCGGACAGTGTGCACAGGGAATTTACATGGAATGAGAAATCTACAGCCTGGATATATAAAACCTATTTACAGTAACTACTATAGCTCCCGGCTGGACAGGCACAGGGAATTTACATGGAATGAGAAATCTACAGCCGATATAAACCTATTTACAGTAACTATAGCCCCGGCGGACAGGCAAGTACAGGGAATTTACATGGATTGAGAAATCACAGCCGGATATAAACCCGTTTACAGTAACTATAGCAAATCATGGATAATCACAGGAAATTGGCATGGAAATGAGAAATCTACAGCCGGATATAAACCTATTTACAGTAACTATAGCTCCTGATGGACAGGCACAGGGAATTTACATGGAATGAGAAATCTACAGCCGGATATAAACCTATTTACAGTAACTATAGCTCCCGATGGACAGGCACAGGGAATTTACATGGATTGAGAAATCTACAGCCGGATATAAACCTATTTACAGTAACTATAGCTCCCGATGGACAGGCACAGGGAATTTACATGGAATGAGAAATCTACAGCCGGATATAAACCTGTTTACAGTAACTATAGCTCCCGATGGACAGACACAGGGAATTTACATGGAATGAGAAATCTACAGCCGGATATAAACCTATTTACAGTAACTATAGCTCCCGATGGACAGGCACAGGGAATTTACATGGAATGAGAAATCTACTGCCGGATATAAACCTATTTACAGTAACTATAGCTCCCGATGGACAGGCACAGGGAATTTACATGGAATGAGAAATCTACAACCGAATATAAACCTATTTACAGTAACTATAGCTCCTGATGGACAGGCACAGGGAATTTACATGGAATGAGAAATCTACAGCCTTATATAAACCTATTTACAGTAACTATAGCTCCCGATGGACAGGCACAGGGAATTTACATGGAATGAGAAATCTACAGCCGGATATAAACCTATTTACAGTAACTATAGCTCCCGATGGACAGGCACAGGGAATTTACATGGAATGAGAAATCTACAGCCGGATATAAACCTATTTACAGTAATTATAGCTCCCGATGGACAGGCACAGGGAATTTACATGGAATGAGAAATCTACAGCCGGATATAAACCTATTTACAGTAACTATAGCTCCCGATGGACAGGCACAGGGAATTTACATGGAATGAGAAATCTACAGCCGGATATAAACCTATTTACAGTAACTATAGCTCCCGATGGACAATGACAGGGAATTTACATGGAATGAGAAATCTACAGCCGGATATAAACCTATTTACAGTAACTATAGGTCCCGATGGACAGGCACAGGGAATTTACATGGAATGAGAAATCTACAGCCGGATATAAAATCTATTTACAGTAACTATAGCTCCCGATGGACAGGCACAGGGAATTTACATGGAATGAGAAATCTACAGCTTGATACAAACCTATTTACAGTAACTATAGCTCCCGATGGACAGGCATAGGGAATTTACATGGAATGAGAAATCTACAGCCGGATATAAACCTATTTACAGTAACTATAGCTCCCGATGGACAGGCACAGGGAATTTACATGGAATGAGAAATCTACTGCCGGATATAAACCTATTTACAGTAACTATAGCTCCCGATGGACAGGCACAGGGAATTTACATGGAATGAGAAATCTACAACCGAATATAAACCTATTTACAGTAACTATAGCTCCTGATGGACAGGCACAGGGGAAATCTACAGCCGGATATAAACCTATTTACAGTAACTATAGCTCCCGATGGACAATGACAGGGAATTTACATGGAATGAGAAATCTACAGCCGGATAAAAACCTATTTACAGTAACTATAGCTCCCGATGGGTAATCACAGGGAATTTACATGGAATGAGAAATCTACAGCCGGATATAAACCTATTTACAGTAACTATAGCTCCCGATGGACAGGCACAGGGAATTTACATGGAATGAGAAATCTACAGCCGGATATAAACCTATTTACAGTAACTATAGCTCCCGATGGACAGGCACAGGGAATTTACATGGAATGAGAAATCTACAGCCGGATATAAACCTATTTACAGTAACTATAGCTCCCGATGGACAGGCACAGGGAATTTACATGGAATGATGACAGATAATCTGCATTTCTCCGTATACATCTGCACACGCTACCAAGCGGCATATTTTATAAATTGATTGATTGTGATATCCAATCACCAAACGAGAGAACACAATTATAATAATGGCCTGGATATTCTTGATATTTTTGGATACGCTTTTTTAATGATTTGATATTTTTGGGTAAACTTTTTTAATTGATTTGATTTTAAAATATTAAAAAATACATCATGCATAAAACATATATCAATAAATATCTAAATATTAAAATATTTTTAAAAATATTAAATAATTTTAAAAGTTTTTTCAAATATATTAAATCAAGGCAACTATAGAAAGACACAGCATTATGTACACAAATTATCCTTAAAAAAATGGCGAATTGCAGATTTCAGTGGAGGTACTTTCATCCACATACTGTCAATCAAAGTGAGAACAAAGAACGCAGGTTAGCGAATAACAAATCTCTGCTTTAAATCACAGAGATTTATTTTGACTTGATAAATTCAGCAAACAACTGTTGCAACTGGGTGACCACTGAGTAGATACAACTAGTGAAATTCACTGTTTGCCAATTTTATCTACAACTGGCCAAGTTCAGCCGAGTCTAGTCTTCATAGATGGTTGCAGGGAGGTCCACCAAGGGCTCGGCTGATCACAAGACACTTTGCAGTGAGCTCATCAGGGTCAAACGTCTAAAGAATCCTGGCAAGCTCAAATGCAGAGTTCTTCTGAGTTATGACACTGGTTTGGTTAGGCAATGCCATAGGGGAGAATTGACTGAGATTTATGAACACAAGAAGAGACATCTACCATTTATCACCGAGTGCTAGGTTCATTTTTAACCACTAGAGAAATACCCAAACTAATACGTTTTTAAAATGATGTTAGCAGTTTGACACTGCAAATGCTCACTACATTTTTCTCATAAGAGTCTGATCTTAATTTTATTTTTGCTGTTATTATTATGTTTCACTTTGTTTTGTTCCGTGTTTACTGCTACTTGATTATAAGTGCAGATATATGAGTATTTATTGTTTAGAACAGATATAATAAATATTCACATTTTTTATATACCGGTTATATTTTACTGTACTTCACTATTATATGCTTTCTGCATTTTGTTTCATGTGAATCTGAGCTGGAGTGACCTCAAGATTATCTGGGGTCCCAGAAGCTATAAGCGCTCCACCTGATATAAGTATTCATTTATTGTTAAATTTCCCCCTTTTATAACCTTGTAACGCGCTGCAGAATAAGTTGGCACTATATAAATACCAATAATAATAAAAAAAATAATAATAATAGATTGTAATTGAGCAGGGCCTTCTTCACCTCTTTTCTCTGATATTTTCTGAATGCAAATTACTTGCCAAATATACCCATTTTATAATTGCAAAGCGATACAGAATAGGTTGGCGCTATATAAACAATAATAATGATGTCACTCTAGCCACTGTTCAGCCAGCGCTGCCAGGGTTAATAAAAGGTAGTGACCTCACCTGTTTTCCATCGCCGCCTTGGTCTCTCCGCTACACTCCACCTCTATGGTTGGGATCATCGAGATCAATGATCTCAGCTAATCCAATGCTTTGCCACAGGAGAGCATTGGGAGGCTAGTGCACCAATCAGAGACCATCTGAGTAAAATAATTTTTTACTTTTTACTCTGCTATTTTACAGAAGAGCCTCTAGTGGCCCTGAAAGCCACTACATGCAGGTTAACATGCAGTGTAAATATTGCAGCTACTGCAGAACAGCGAACTGTGGGATGTTAAGTGGGGCACACGGCACCCAGACCACTTCATTGAGATCTATCATTGAAATGAAGTCTACTGGATGCCTATAGTGTCCCTTTAATGGAAAACCGATATGAAAATTGTAAAATGTAATTGCAGAAAGTTTATGTCAACTACTTTAATGTAGTTGTGTTTTTTTTTAAATGCTGTATATAGATTTCCTTTATAAAATTCCCAATGTTCTCTCAATTGACTAAGTCAGATTCTGCAGTTACATGCAAAGCCCACGCTGCTGTAAAATGCACACACAAGGAGGTGAGGGAAGATGTCATTGTCCAGTGTGGATGTGCGATACCACGGCAAGACAGACCACGGGTTTCAGATTCATTAAAGATGGCAAGTCAGCAAAATAAAACTTATACTCAAAAAATTCCTCCAGAACAAATATGGATTCGAATCTGTAGGTTCCAGACACAATGCACTGTTTAGCTGCCCTTACCGTGTAATCCTCCTTTTCTGCTGAGACTTGGTGACTGTATTTTCCTCATCACGCTTCTTTAACACCTGGTAGTTATACTCCAGCTTCTCCTGGTTTAGCTGGTAGGTTGCTTTCATTTGCTGCAGCTGCTGCTGAAGGAGCTAACGTAATAAAACAGACATTTATAACAGCGGTAATTGCCCCAGGTCCAGCTGACAATGTCATCATATCAATGTGTAGAGGAGAGATCACACATATCAGTCAATAGATAAACACGCTGTCATTTTAGCTGCCCACAGGGATATGTCCTTGTTATTAATGCAGTTTATGGACAAACATGTTTGTGACTCTTTTCTTCTCATCTGTACCTTTTCCAGGTTTATTATTTATTAATTATTAGGAGAAAATGTTAATAAAACAGAATTGGTATTCTCCGCTCCATCCTGCACATCAGTATCCATTTCCACTGTAGGCACTATAACCGTTTCAATCCTCCCATTCATTTTCACGCAATTTAACACTGAATGAGGGTCACGGCCACCCACATCCCAGGCAGAGCTCATACACTTCCTTCTACCATACCAACTCATACCAGCAATAAGAGCTCTGCTAGGCTGAAAGTGGTCAGCTGACACTCTCAGCCAATCACAGTCACTCATTGCTGCATGAACCCAAGCAGCACGGAGAGGACGACCAGATACCATAATCACTTCAATAAGATGAAGCAGTTCCAGTGTCTACAGTGACCCTTTAGCCATTATCTCCTTGATTTCCTGCACTGCTCTGCACATCTGTATCCAGTTCCTCAATATGATGTTCCCTCCACCCTGCACATCTGTATCCAGTTTCACAATTAGCATGTTCCCTCCACCCTGCAAATCTGTATCCAGTTACTATCTGAGCCATGGTCCCCTCTCTGTCCTGTATATCATTCTCGAGTAAGATCATTGATCATAGTACAATCTCAATTTTAATTTTCGATCTCTGTCATTCTCCAGTTACTATCTGAGCCATGGTCCCCTCTCTGTCCTGTATATCATTCTCGAGTAAGATCATTGATCATAGTACCATCTATGTTCTATATATCATTCTCTGTCATTCTCCAGTTACTATCTGAGCCATAGTCCCCTCTCTGTCCTGTATATCATTCTCGAGTAAGATCATTGATCATAGTACAATCTCAATTTTAATTTTCGATCTCTGTCATTCTCCAGTTACTATCTGAGCCATGGTCCCCTCTCTGTCCTGTATATCATTCTCGAGTAAGATCATTGATCATAGTACCATCTATATTCTATATATCATTCTCCAGTTACTATCTGAGCCATGGTCCCCTCTCTGTCCTGTTTATCATTCTCGAGTAAGATCATTGATCATAGTACCATCGATATTCTAAATATCATTCTCTGTTATTCTCCAGTTACTATCTGAGCCATGGTCCCCTCTCTGTCCTGTATATCATTCTCGAGTAAGATCATTGATCATAGTACAATCTCAATTTTAATTTTCGATCTCTGTCATTCTCCAGTTACTATCTGAGCCATGGTCCCCTCTCTGTCCTGTATATCATTCTCGAGTAAGATCATTGATCATAGTACCATCTATATTCTATATATCATTCTCCAGTTACTATCTGAGCCATGGTCCCCTCTCTGTCCTGTTTATCATTCTCGAGTAAGATCATTGATCATAGTACCATCTATATTCTAAATATCATTCTCTGTTATTCTCCAGTTACTATCTGAGCCATGGTCCCCTCTCTGTCCTGTATATCATTCTCGAGTAAGATCATTGATCATAGTACCATCTATATTCTATATATCATTCTCCAGTTACTATCTGAGCCATGGTCCCCTCTCTGTCCTGTATATCATTCTCGAGTAAGATCATTGATCATAGTACAATCTATATTCTAAATATCATTCTCTGTTATTCTCCAGTTACTATCTGAGCCATAGTCCCCTCTCTGTCCTGTATATCATTCTCGAGTAAGATCATTGATCATAGTACCATCTATATTCTATATATCATTCTCTGTCATTCTCCAGTTACTATCTGAGCCATGGTCCCCTCTCTGTCCTGTTTATCATTCTCGAGTAAGATCATTGATCATAGTACCATCTATATTCTATATATCATTCTCCAGTTACTATCTGAGCCATGGTCCCCTCTCTGCCCTGTATATCATTCTCGAGTAAGATCATTGATCATAGTATCATCTATATTCTAAATATCATTCTCCAAGTAGACAATCCCCTCTCAAACCTGCACGTCATTCTCCAGTTTGATCTTGATCAAATTGTATTCCTCGCCATCCTGGACCCGTAGTTGGTTTAGTTGATTCTCGTATTCCTCCACTTTCTTCATTCGGTTCATCAGGTCTTCCAGCTGTGAAAAAAGAATTTCAATGTGTTCAGTTCATAATGTCCAGCCAAGCATATATCGTAACTAACGTTAAGAAGAACTAATATTATAATCTGTGTATGCACGCGGCTCATACAAACAACCTGCATAATGAACGTGAATGTGCAGCTATTAATCTGCTGAAATGAGTTCTATTAGTAGAAGAGGAAGGGGATACTTTTCATAAATCCTACTTGCTGACAAGAAAATAAAGTATTAATCCTTTATTATGCCAGATTTTTGGCACCAGACACAAGAGCACAAAAAGTGATCTGCATTATAGCCTTGGATGCAGTGCGAACTTGTTACCTCCTTGTCCCTGCGAGCCTGCATTCCCTTCTCCCACTTGTTTCTGCTACTGTTTAAAAGCTCACGTCTCTCCGATTCGAAGGCTCTCTGCGAAATACAAACATCAGCACAAGGTAAAACAAAGCATTTGCAACAACAATGTATAGATTAAAAAGCACATCCTATGAAAAGAGTCATGTCGTATCTGGATGACAGATAAAAAAAAGCATCAACATACTGTGCAGGACATGTTCTGGTACAGCAGAATCGGCATTTTTAATGTATGTTATTCTTAATTTCTCCAACAAAAACTTGCTCCTTGTGTATTGTATAAAGTCCAGCAGCGCACCATACAATACCGTTACAAACAGAATGTTAACCAAGTCCATCATCATGAATACACATCTGGCCATGATGGAGCCAATGAAGCATTGAAGCACGACATCTAACAGTTATTGGTATATGGTGTAATGGCTGGTAGAATCTTTTCTATCAGTAAGAGGTGCCATCCCTACAAACTGTAAATAGCTTTCCGATACGTATGTGATGTCAGAGCAATGCCGTGCGTCTGTCTACCTCAATCTCCAGGAGTTCCTCCCGGTAGGTCTTCATTAAATTCTTTATCTGCTCCTCCATCCTTCCAATCAGAATGTCAATGTCTTCTGCCTGTTTCTTCAGGTCCTTAACGTAATGATCATCTTTTCTTTTCAGCTCCTATAGAGACACGCAATCGGTCATGCAGGGTTTCCATGCAGTAAGATAAAGGGTAATAAACGCTCATTGATAGCAGTAACATATTAACATACTAAATTTATCAGTACACACCTTATACACATGCCAGAGGTAGTCTCCGTAGAACACATACCAACGACTTTTACAATGTTACCTAACCTATGACACAAATTATACATTTTACCCCCAATTATACACATGGCAAAATGTATAACCGGGTCCCCCCACATTTTACACATGTCAGAATGTATCATGCGGTACCCACCCATTATACAAATGTCAGTGTATTACTGTGTAACCCACATTATAAACATATCAGCGGCCATTACCCGATACCCCTACATTATACACATGTCAGAGTGTATCACGCGGAACCCCCCCCATTATACAAATGTCAGAGTGTATCACGCGGTACCCCTCCCCCCATTATACAAATGTTAGTGTATTACCCTGTATCCCACATTATACACATATCAGCGACCATTACCCGATACCCCTACATTATACACGCCAGAGTGTATCATGCGGAACCCCCCCATTATACAAATGTCAGAGTGTATCACGCGATACCCCTCCCCCATTATACAAATGTTAGTGTATTACCCTGTATCCCACATTATACACATATCAGCGGCCATTACCCGATACCCCTACATTATACACATGTCAGAGTGTATCACGCGGAACCCCCCCCATTATACAAATGTCAGAGTGTATCACGCGGTACCCCTCCCCCATTATACAAATGTTAATGTATTACCCTGTATCCCACATTATACACATATCAGCGACCATTACCCGATACCCCTACATTATACACATGTCAGAGTGGATTACCAGGTCCCCTCCCCCCAAATTATACACATATCAGAGTGTATTAACCTGAACCCCTACTTTATAAAAGATGTGAAGTATTACCCAGAAGACCCACCTGTTGCAGCTCGCCAATGAGCTTGTTCTTGTCCTCGATGAGCTGGCCGCATTGCTGCTGCTGAGAGTTCAGTAACTCCCACTGCTCCTGAGGGATCTTCTTAGTTCCAGTGGACAACCATTTTTTTGTGATTTCCTCAAATTTCTCCAGGCTGGTCTTGGCCTCATTATCTAATCTCTCTATTCTGGTAAAATGAGCAGAGGATATAGTAGCGTTAGACTAGGAATTTCTACAAGAGAAGAGGTATCTCAAATACAGAGTTTTGATATGAACAACACAGATAATGTCACTGACATAGATAAACGATTAGAGAGAAAACTCAGAGCCACTGTTTTGTAAGCCTTAAATAACATGTAAATAATACAAAGTGTATCACAAATCCCCTGCCAACATAAAGGTGTCAGTCTAAGCACCATAACAAGTTGTACCATTACAAAGGATACATCTCATGCACTTAGTCTTCCTGCCAAGCGTGCCTTAAAATTACATTGATTTGCAAAATTAACTGAATACTGTATGCACTAAAACAACCTTTATAAGGGTGCGAGGCCTGACTGCCATGCCAGCAGGACGTGACCTGCATGAACTCCAGGCAATTGCTCAAAAATCAGTGGGTCAAGTACCAGACTCATCAACACTCTACATTGACTTGTACGTTGCTCCAGCTTGGGTCTACCCAATATAAGCGACAAATATCTATCTATCTATGGACAAAACTTGGATGAAGGCTCTAAATACTCTGTGACCTGGTGCGCACTGAAGAAGGTAGAGGCAGTCGCTCTCCCGCCCTGAGTGACCAGAGCTGACAGTTAGTGCCCTACCGGCCCACCCCTTTGCACCGGTGGAGGTGATCCCAGTCTATACCCAGATGGCTCCTCTGCTTTAGGGCCCAAAAAGTGTTGATATCATGTGGCACATAAAATGGCAACGCCACATGCTTCTCCAAACCCAGTTGTGGAGAGATGACTGTGCTGGACAAGCTGAATAAGATCTTTGCCCTGTTCTGAAAGAAACTAGCCGCATGCAAGTTCATTACTAGGCCTTTTTTATTTGACCTGTTTTTCTGCTGCTGAATCCTGAGCTATATATCCTTGGTGGGGATAATACCACCCAAGCCAATTATATTGAGCAAACCTCATTTTTCTCTGGAGCATATGAGTAAGTTTTTATTATGTTTTAAGGTGCGCACTACTTTGGCTTTTTATTTCTCTTTTATATATACACGGAGGATTATCCACATCACCTATATCCTAGAGTGGGGATCAACCCACTTCACGTATTACTTCTGGAGCCAATACTTAGGCTCCAAAATATGTGAGTGTACACCTAACTACATACCTACCCCTGCTTATTAGCTCACCATACTATACTATATACTTTTATTTTGTCTTTTGTGTTTTATGAGGATACCCATCGCAGTAAGGAAAACTTGAAGAATCTGTACTATATCCATAGGCGTGGATCATTTTGCCCAGGTCGGAGCTGTATTTAAGCTCCCTGAAAGTGTGAGTGTACAATTTTTAATTTTCCTTACTCTATTAAGAAGTTTTTAACTACACTATCAGTCATTTTTGTTTTCCCTTTTTTGTCATTGCATACATTCCCTAAAGGATACTTCAGGCGCTGCACTTTCTTTTCCAGCCATCTCAGGACCAAATGCATGGAACAAAGCGGAAGGTCTGGACCGCAACCAAATGTAGGACCCGGCAGCGGTAGAGACACTTGGCCAGAAGGGTGAGAGTCAGGTGCAACTTACCCTCAAGCCTGCACATGCGGAGTGCTTGTTTCACCATACAGCGTGGATGGATGCAGCAGCGGCACTGTGTATCATTATGCCCTGGAAGCCTATTTAATAGTGTTGGGGATCTGTGGGGTTGAATACTCTAGTCTTACATCTAGAATGTCTGGAAGATTTGTTTACTAGCAAGCATATATTTCTCTCGCTATCTAGACATACTTACTTAGCCTGCTTAATATACCTTAAAATTGTGCTATTGTTTCTCATGCCACATCTGTGTTTCTAATTGTTTGATATTACTGAGCCTATGCGTGCTATTATGGTGCTATTATGGCGTGGTAGGTGTGTTTTGTACTTCATGCACAGCAAAAAATAAATCTAAACAACCTTCATGTTATGGAAGTTGTTACAGTGCCTTTAGTCCTATCTCCTAAAAAATTTTATTTTAAATATTTGTATTAAAATAAAATGCCTTCCAAGCCCTCTCTATACGACAGCCGAGACTGTTACTTCCCGTCTTTCACACTCTAATATACCGTGACGCCATCTGCGCATCCGCCGTGCTCTCACTGTATTCAAAGATTCTCTTTGGCAGGATCATAGGCACATCACGGCAAGCGCCGTGCATTCACCTACAGTCTTCAATGCTAATCTATCAGGAGCAATGGATTGGACCATCATCCAGGAAACATCAGACGAGGAGCAGGTTGCGAAAGACCCGATGGTGGAGAGAAGGTGAGTCATTTCTTTTTTTCCCATTCATTTTTGTTTTAATTACTAACACTGGTGAGGCCCTGAAACTAAATAAGCACATCAAGACTTTGCAGTGTCAGGAATACAGATCTGGCTCTCAGATGTTCTCCTTTGAGTGAGATGTGTATTGTGTGTGCACTCTGGATTTACCACAAGGAAGCATACTCTTCCTTCCCGGAGAGTGGCTTTCTGCACGGATCACAGCTTAGTAGTTCACTACTCACAGCCTGAAACTAGTTTTGTATAAGATAGCAAAAGTTGTATGGCTACTATCAGTTAATGCTATAACCCACTATTCATGATGAAGAGCTGCCGGTCTTTCTAAATGAGTGTAAAACCATTAATAAGTTCAGACGAGACATGTTTGTGACTTCATGTTCGGCACATGTATATATCGTTGGATGGTGTCCACAACCCATACCTTAGTCTCCTCAGCTCTTCTTCTTCTGCCCTTCTTTGGGTCTCCCTGGCATCAGCTGCTATCTGAACATTAGTCACTAGTTCTGTGCCATCCCTCAACAGTTTGGTCAATCGCTGAGAATGAGAGAGAGATATCACAAAATGATTTACTTTCAGATTCCATGTGCAGTGTAATATGTTTAGTGTATGTAAGCTTTATCAGGAAATAAACCTGAATTATTCATTGAATTTGCACAGGTACTAAACAACAGGTATAGCCTTGTGGATGATAATCACCAATAACCACAACCAACTTCTGAATAAAGAAAGCTGCATTTATTGAAAGCAAGACACAAAGCAATACTGATTAGTTATGGGTGAGGCAAGGTCCATTAGAAAATTAGCTAAAAGTGTTGATCCAGTAACTTAAATGTATATAGATGGAAACAATATAGGCAATGTGCTACTTCAACGGACATTATAGCATTATGAACAGAAATTCCCCAGTTATATTTAGAGCTCATTGAAGTAGTCTGGGTGCAATGTACCTGTCCCCGTAATGTTTGTTATTGGAAATTCTGATAAACTGCAATAATTACATTGCAGGGTTAAGACAGCTGTCAATCAGACAGCCAATAGAGGCACTTCCTGGTTTTTAGAAAATAGTGTCATATAAAGTGTGTCCGTGGCTTGTTTCCACATCATGTGCACTCCAAAAACATTTATACTCAGGACTCATGCATTTAATGACATGACTGTACACAGTGACATCTAGAAAATGTCTGAGAGAGATTTAAACAAACACTGGCAACATTCAACCAGCAGCAAACCATCGGTCTTAGATTGCAAGCTCACCTGTCTGCTGTGCTCAACCTGCTTATGGCTCTTTCTGGGCTCTTCCTTCTTATCCTTGTGAACATTAGGATCCTCCCCAAGTGCTTCCCTATTAAGAGTGTGACAAGGCAGGTCAGTGTTTAGGGACTGCACACTTGCAATAGAATAATAACCCATTAGTGTAGCTGAGGACACAAAGTGGGCAAACCCCTTGAAAATGCAGATATGGAAGAAAAGGATCCGGGCACGCAGACTTTAATCGGACACAAAATACAAAATGATGACATTTTGACCACACAATGTGGTCTTAATCAAATCTAGACTATATCAGATTTATCAAATTCAGATTATACCAGATGTCAGATTTGATAAGGACCACATTGAGTAGTCAAAGATTCATAATTTTGCATTGTGTCCATTTCAAGTCTGCATTCCCTACTGAAGCGCCCGGATCCTTCACTTCTATGTTTGCGTTTAGTAATCACTGATATTTCATGGGACACTTTCCTAAGCACCAAAACAGTCTCACCGCTCAATCTGCCATTTAGGAGTTAAATCCCGATTGTTTCTGTTTATGCTGCCCTAAACACACAGGCTACATTTAAAAAATAGTTTCATTTTCAATTAAATCTTACAGCACAGGGTGCTTGCTTCAGGAGTTTATATCTCCTGCTCTTTTAATTGAACTTTAATGACACATAGGAGGCTGCTGTGGGCTCTAGCAGGCAAATAACAGAGCAAGAGATTTCAAATGAAAGGGAAACTTTAGTTCCAAGAAAAAAGTTGTTTTGCCCCCTTCCTCCTTCCCATGGGGTTAAACAAAACTCTTCTGTCACTTACCTGATTCCAGAGCTGATGTCCCTTGGCGCTGGGACCTGCTGACAAAGGGTACCTAATGAAAGTCAATGGCTTTCCCATGGGATTTCAGGTGTCAATGGATGTCCTTCTGCATAGTGTGAGGACATCCAGCGTCAATTTGGCGACCAAAAGTCGGAAGCCCTCTAGTGGCTGTCTGGTAAACAGCCACTAGAGGTGGAATTAACCCCCAAAGGTAATTATTGCAGCTTATTTAAATCTATTAAATAATTACAATTGCAGGGTTAAGGGACCTGGGACATTGTACCCACACCACTTCAATGAGCTGAAGTTGTCTGGGTGCCTATACTGTCCCTTTAAACCACACTGCGCAATAAAGTAGGTTTAAAAAATAAACCTCTTAAGAAGTGTGTAAAAAGGCTGTGTAAGTCACAGCCAGATGAGGTGTGGCTAGAGCTGCATAAACAAAGTGATTTGACTCCTAAATGGCAGAGAACTGAGCAGTGAGACTGCAGGGGCATGTTCTATACACCAAAACTGCTTTATTAAGACAAAGTTGTCTTGGTGCTCATTGCAATTAGACCACTATTTTACTAAAATTTTATTTAAATTAGAGATTAATTCACATGCAGTCTGAATTGTAGTTTCAAGAACAACTTCTTCAAGTGTTTATTGTATAGATTACGGTGTAATCTCCCCGCACACAGTGTATTATAACTGAAGCTATACAGTTATGGTGTAAGGAGGTCCCCTGTCTCCCAGCACACAGTGTATTCTAACTGCAGCTATAAGGTTATGGTGTAAGGAGGTCCCCTGTCTCCCCGCACACAGTGTATTATAACTGCAGCTATAAGGTTATGGTGTAAGGAGGTCCCCTGTCTCCCCGCACACAGTGTATTATAACTGCAGCTATAAGGTTATGGTGTAAGGAGGTCCCCTGTCTCCCGCACACAGTGTATTATAACTGCAGCTATAAGGTTATGGTGTAAGGAGGTCCCCTGTCTCCCGCACACAGTGTATTATAACTGCAGCTATAAGGTTATGGTGTAAGGAGGTCCCCTGTCTCCCCGCACACAGTGTATTATAACTGCAGCTATAAGGTTATGGTGTAAGGAGGTCCCCTGTCTCCCCGCACACAGTGTATTATAACTGCAGCTATAAGGTTATGGTGTAAGGAGGTCCCCTGTCTCCCCGCACACAGTGTATTATAACTGCAGCTATAAGGTTATGGTGTAAGGAGTCCCCTGTCTCCCCGCACACAGTGTATTATAACTGCAGCTATAAGGTTATGGTGTAAGGAGGTCCCCTGTCTCCCCGCACACAGTGTATTATAACTGCAGCTATAAGGTTATGGAGTAAGGAGGTCCCCTGTCTCCCTGCACACAGTGTATTATAACTGAAGCTATAAGGTTATGGTGTAAGGAGGTCCCGTCTCCCCGCACACAGTATATTATAACTGAAGCTATACGGTTATGGTGTAAGGAGGTCCCCTGTCTCCCCACACACTGTGTATTATAACTGCAGCTATAAGGTTATGGTGTAAGGAGGTCCCGTCTCCCCGCACACAGTATATTATAACTGCAGCTATAAGGTTATAGTGTAAGGAGGTCCCCTGTCTCCCCACACACTGTGTATTATAACTGCAGCTATAAGGTTATGGTGTAAGGAGGTCCCGTCTCCCCGCACACAGTGTATCATAACTGAACCTATAAGGTTATGGTGTAAGGAGGTCCCCTGTCTCTGTCTCCCCACACACAGTGTATTATAACTGAAGCTATAAGGTTATGGTGTAAGGAGGTCCCCTGTCTCCCCGCACACAGTGTATTATAACTGCAGCTATAAGGTTATGATGCAAGGAGTTCCCCTGTCTCCCCGCACACAGTGTATCATAACTGAAGCTATACGGTTATGGTGTAAGGAGGTTCCCTGTCTCCCCGCACACAGTGTATTATAACTGCAGCTATAAGGTTATGGTGTAAGGAGGTTCCCTGTCTCTGTCTCCCCACACACAGTGTATTATAACTGAAGCTATAAGGTTATGGTGTAAGGAGGTCCCCTGTCTCCCCGCACACAGTGTATTATAACTGCAGCTATAAGGTTATGATGCAAGGAGTTCCCCTGTCTCCCCGCACACAATGTTTTATAACTGAAGCTATAAGGTTATGGTGTAAGGAGGTCCCCTGTCTCCCCGCACACAGTGTATTATAACTGCAGCTATAAGGTTATGGTGTAAGGAGGTCCCCTGTCTCCCCGCACACAGTGTATTATAACTGCAGCTATAAGGTTATGGTGTAAGGAGGTCCCCTGTCTCCCCGCACACAGTGTATTATAACTGCAGCTATAAGGTTATGGTGTAAGGAGGTCCCCTGTCTCCCCGCACACAGTGTATTATAACTGCAGCTATAAGGTTATGGTGTAAGGAGATCCCCTGTCTCCCCACACAGTGTATTAAAACTGCAGCTATAAGGTAATGGTGTGAGGAGGTTCCCTGTCCCTGTCTCCCCACACACAGTGTATTATAACTGCAGCTATAAGGTTATGTGTAAGGTGGTCCCCTGTCTCCCCGTACACAGTGTATTATAACTGAAGCTATAAGGTTATGGTGTAAGGAGGTCCCCTGTCTCCCCACACACAGTGTATTTTAACTGCAGCTATAAGGGTATGGTGTAAGGAGGTCCCCTGTCTCTGTCTCCCTGAACACAGTGTATTATAACTCCAGCTATAACGTTATGGTGTAAGGAGGTTCCCTGTCTCTGTCTCCCCGCACACAGTGCATTATAACTGCAGCTATAAGGTTATGGTATAAGGAGGTCCCCTGTCCCTGTCTCCCTGCACACAGTTTATTATAACTGCAGATATAAGATTATGGTATAAGGAAGTTCCCTGTCCCTGTCTCCCCGCACACAGTTTATTATAACTGCAGATATAAGATTATGGTATAAGGAGGTCCCCTGTCCCTGTCTCCCCACACAGTTTATTATAACTGCAGATATAAGGTTATGGTGTAAGGAGATCCCCTGTCTCCCTGCACACAGTGTATTATAACTGCAGCTATAAGGTTATGGTGTAAGGAGGTCCCGTCTCCCCGCACACAGTGTATTATAACTGCAGCTATAAGGTTATGGTGTAAGGAGGTCCCCTGTCTCCCTGCACACAGTGTATTATAACTGCAGCTATAAGGTTATGGTATAAGGAGGTTCCCTGTCTCTGTCTCCCCGCACACAGTGTATTATAACTGCAGATATAAGATTGTGGTATAAGGAGGTTCCCTGTCTCTGTCTCCCCGCACACAGTGTATTATAACTGCAGATATAAGGTTATGGTGTAAGGAGGTTCCCTGTCTCTGTCTCCCCACACACAGTGTATTATAACTGCAGATATAAGGTTATGGTGTAAGGAGGTTCCCTGTCTCTGTCTCCCCACACACAGTGTATTATAACTGCAGCTATAACGTTATGGTATAAGGAGGTCCCCTGTCTCCCCACACAGTGTATTATAACTGCAGCTATAAGGTTATGTTGTAAGGAGGTCCCATGTCTCCCTGCACACAGTGTTTTATAACTGCAGATATAAGGTTATGGTGTAAGGAGGTTCCCTGTCTCACCGCACACAGTGTATTATAACTGCAGCTATAAGGTTATGGTGTAAGGAGGTCCCCTGTCTCCCCACACAGTGTATTAAAACTGCAGCTATAAGGTAATGGTGTAAGGAGGTTCCCTGTCCCTGTCTCCCCACACACAGTGTATTATAACTGCAGCTATAAGGTTATGTGTAAGGTGGTCCCCTGTCTCCCCGTACACAGTGTATTATAACTGAAGCTATAAGGTTATGGTGTAAGGAGGTCCCCTGTCTCCCCACACACAGTGTATTTTAACTGCAGCTATAAGATTATGGTATAAGGAGGTCCCCTGTCTCTGTCTCCCCGCACAGAGTGTATTATAACTGCAGCTATAACGTTATGGTGTAACGTTATAGCTGCACCTCCTTACACCATAACCTTATAGCTGCAGTTATAATACACTGTGTGCGGTGAGACAGGGAACCTGTCTCCCCGCACGCAGTGTATTATAACTGCAGCTATAAGGTTATGGTGTAAGGAGGTCCCCTGTCTCCCAGCACACAGTGTATTATAACTGCAGCTATAAGGTTATGGAGTAAGGAGGTCCCCTCTCGCCCTGCACACAGTGTATTATAACTGAAGCTATAAGGTTATGGTGTAAGGAGGTCCCGTCTCCCCGCACACAGTATATTATAACTGAAGCTATACGGTTATGGTGTAAGGAGGTCCCCTGTCTCCCCACACACTGTGTATTATAACTGCAGCTATAAGGTTATGGTGTAAGGAGGTCCCGTCTCCCCGCACACAGTATATTATAACTGCAGCTATAAGGTTATAGTGTAAGGAGGTCCCCTGTCTCCCCACACACTGTGTATTATAACTGCAGCTATAAGGTTATGGTGTAAGGAGGTCCCGTCTCCCCGCACACAGTGTATCATAACTGAAGCTATAAGGTTATGGTGTAAGGAGGTCCCCTGTCTCCCCGCACACAGTGCATTATAACTGCAGCTATAAGGTTATGGTATAAGGAGGTCCCCTGTCCCTGTCTCCCTGCACACAGTTTATTATAACTGCAGATATAAGATTATGGTATAAGGAAGTTCCCTGTCCCTGTCTCCCTGCACACAGTTTATTATAACTGCAGATATAAGATTATGGTATAAGGAGGTCCCCTGTCCCTGTCTCCCCACACAGTTTATTATAACTGCAGATATAAGGTTATGGTGTAAGGAGGTCCCCTGTCTCCCCGCACACAGTGTATTATAACTGCAGCTATAAGGTTATGGTGTAAGGAGGTCCCCTGTCTCCCCGCACACAGTGTATTATAACTGCAGCTATAAGGTTATGGTGTAAGGAGGTCACCTGTCTCCCTGCACACAGTGTGGCGAAACCAACCTCGCCACTGTGAACTGGAGAAGCCTGGTTGCTCGCCTGCTCCCTTTGGACTATGGCCCTGCAGGTTAAACTGTTTATTTCCCCTGCAGAAAGGCTTATTTGTGTGATCTGAGTGCCATGCATCTAATAATGTGCACTCAGATCCCAGCTATCTGGGGATATGTGAAATGTCTGTGTGTTATGTGTAAATGTGACTTTATGTATTTTAAAGTGTTTTGTGTCTTTTGCAACCATGTGCTTAATGGAGTCTTGTGTCTGTCCTGGGAGATAATTGAATTACTTATCTCCAGGATAGAAGACTCTGAAACTGGTTTGGGCCAGAAAGCCATGCTTCATTTAGTCACAAAGGACTTTACTAACTTTTGAACCCCTGGTCTGATTTGCCATTTTTAATATGTTGTTCCCCTGAATGGATTGATTGTGAATATGTAATTTTATGTGAATGTGATGTATGGTTTTAGAGTTATGAAAGTTGGGTAGAAAGTATGTTTTAACTGTATGTGTAATTGAGTTTCCTCTCAGGATAAGGGGAGGGAATATGTGGGATGTAACTGTGATGTGATTGGTTGTTTTGTACCGCCCTGTGGGCGGTTGTATTTGGATTGGGAATAAAAGAGACTGTATGTGACAGTACAGGGAGTTCCTGTTTTAACCCTCAAAGTGAAGTGTCGTCTCATTATTGGGGGAAGGATTTATTGTATGCTGTTCCAGTTTGACTGCTAGGAGAGTAAACCTATTCGTATGGTTCCTATTCAACTGTCTACAGCATTCATATGCTTGGGAGAATTTATTTGTTTCTCCGGTTCGGTGATTGTGGTGTCTGCCAGAGTGCTTGGAGTCCTCAGGAAGCGCTAGGAGCATCCTTCAACGGAGGTACCCAGTCGGGGTGCCAGGCGATCCGTTACATTGGTGGCAAGCGGTGGGATGGCGTCCTAGTGCGAGGTAAAGCAGCTCAGAGACACAGTTCGTTTGGATTTACAAATTGAAGGCGACGCTAGTGTTTATACAGCGTCCCTGTCTACATAAAGATTTGGGAAAATGGGGTTCGTGGATCCTTGGGCACCTCGCACACCTGAGGAAGAGGGTGAATTGGACTGGAGAGATATTGCCCGGCAAGAACTATGGTACAATGCCCTGGAGGAAGTCCAGTATCAACGGCAGCAGCGCATTCCTGGTGTCGCATACCGGTTGGAGGAACAAATGGCCTGGCGGATGCCGCTTCTGGGAGACCAACCCGGAGGGCAGCAGGTCAGACAACTTGAGTACCTTGTGGAAAGGGAACTGAGCCTTGACGCCTCATACCGGGCACTGTGGTGGTGCACTGTCCAGCCAGAGACATGGAGGGCAGAGGACATCCAGCCGGAGGGGGAGAACTACACTAGCCCTGGCCTGTTGTGGAAGGCCTTAGCAGAAGACGTCGACTTTGGCAGTCCAGCAGAGTCACGGTACTGGGCTATTTTTTATTACCGGGGTGAGATGGTACAGGGCCCGAGATCTATGGGACTGGCACAAGACCTCCACCGTTTGGCTGCCATGGAACGACAGCTAGAGATGGACTATGTGGAACTACTAAACTCATGTCAGCCACAGGGCATAGACACAGAACAGGAAAACTGGCTGGGAGACCCAGACCTGCCAACCTACAGCTGGGAAAACGCAGCCGAGGTACCCCCTGCTTCACTACCAGCGGCAGAAGAAGGGGACCTCATAGACTGGTCCTGGGAAGACCCACAGATGGCAGGTAGAGATGGGATGGCGGTCTCTCTACCGGCCCTACAGGGATGCTGGGCGGTCGGCCCAGATCTCCAGCGGCAGTGTGTACCCCAGGGAGCAGAAGGTGCAGTCCTTCCTCCCCAGCGGCAGTGTGTACCCCAGGGAGCAGAAGGTGCAGTCCTTCCTGCCCAGCGGCAGTGTGTCCTGCAGGAAGCGGAGACAGTCGGTCTCGCTCCCCAGCAGCAGGGCAATATATTAAAAGGGGAGACAGTTGGTCCCCCTCTCCAACAGCAGAGAGAGTGTCAGGGAGAGGAGCTTGTTATCCCCTCTCCCCAGCGGCTGAAAGTATGTATGGGAGAGGAGCTTGTTACCCCCCCTTCCCAGCGGCAGTGTGTACCCCAGGAAGCAGAGACCATCTGTCTCGCACCCCAGCCGCAGGACAAAATATTGAAAGGGGAGACAGTTGGTCCCCCTCTCCACCAGCAAAGAGAGTGTCAGGGAGAGGAGCAGGTTACCCCCTCTCCCCAGCAGCAGTCTACAGTTCAGAGAGAGGAGCTTGTTACACCCTCTCTCCAGCGGCAGCCTAACCCACCAAGGGGAGATGTTAAGCCCCACAACTATGCAGATGGGACCGTAGTCTCTGCACTTGCAGCCCCAGGGGCAGGGACGGTCAGTCCTGTTCCCCAGCCACAGAGCGGTGTATCCAGAGGGGAGACAGTCGGTCTCTCCCTCCCACAACCAGGCTCCCACCAGGCTACTTCCGTGGTAGCACTGGCATCAGGGCAGAGTACCGCTGGTCTCTGCCCAATCAGCAACCCACCAAGGCAGCCTAACCGTTGCCCACACAGTCGTGGTGAGGCACCTGGACATGGACAAAGTTCTCCTCTACCCAGGTGTAGTAACCAGTTATTGTGGGTGGGCTGTACTGCTGTTTCTGTTTTGTGGGTGGGTTGCTGGACTAACCAGGGCACTGACCGGGAGGAGGTCAGATACCCTGTTAGTCTAGTTGGTAAAGGGGAGAAGTGTGGCGAAACCAACCTCGCCACTGTGAACTGGAGAAGCCTGGTTGCTCGCCTGCTCCCTTTGGACTATGGCCCTGCAGGTTAAACTGTTTATTTCCCCTGCAGAAAGGCTTATTTGTGTGATCTGAGTGCCATGCATCTAATAATGTGCACTCAGATCCCAGCTATCTGGGGATATGTGAAATGTCTGTGTGTTATGTGTAAATGTGACTTTATGTATTTTAAAGTGTTTTGTGTCTTTTTGCAACCATGTGCTTAATGGAGTCTTGTGTCTATCCTGGGAGACAATTGAATTACTTATCTCCAGGATAGAAGACTCTGAAACTGGTTTGGGCCAGAAAGCCATGCTTCATTTAGTCACAAAGGACTTTTTACTAACTTTTGAACCCCTTGTCTGATTTGTGCCATTTTTGAATATGTTGTTTCCCTGAATGGATTGATTGTGCATATGTAATTTTATGTGAATGTGATGTATGGTTTTAGAGTTATGAAAGTTGGGTAGAAAGTATGTTTTAACTGTATGTGTAATTGAGTTTCCTCTCAGGATAAGGGGAGGGAATATGTGGGATGTAACTGATATGTGATTGGTTGTTTTATAACGCCCTGTGGGCTGTACTATGTTTGTGGATTGGGAATAAAAGAGACTGTATGTGACAGTACAGGGAGTTCCTGCTTAACCCTCAAAGTGAAGTGTCGTCTCATTATTGGGGGAAGGATTTATTGTATGCTGTTCCAGTTTGACTGCTAGGAGAGTAAACCTATTTGTATGGTTCCTATTCAACTGTCTGCAGCATTCATATGCTTGGGAGAATTTATTTGTTTCTCCGGTTCGGTGATTGTGGTGTCTGCCAGAGTGCTTGGAGTCCTCAGGAAGCGCTAGGAGCATCTTTCAACGGAGGTACCCAGTCGGGGTGCCAGACGATCCGTTACACACAGTGTAATATAACTGCAGATATAAGGTTATGGTGTAAGGAGGTCCCCTGTCTCCCCACACACAGTGTATTATAACTTCAGCTATAAGGTTATGGTGTAAGGAGGTTCCCTGTCTCTGTCTCCCCACACACAGTGTATTATAACTGAAGCTATAAGGTTATGGTGTAAGGAGGTCCCCTGTCTCCCCGCACACAGTGTATTATAACTGCAGCTATAAGATTATGGTGTAAGGAGGTCCCGTCTCCCCGCACACAGTGTATTATAACTGCAGCTATAAGGTTATGGTGTAAGGAGGTCCCCTGTCTCCCCGCACACAGTGTATTATAACTGCAGCCATAAGGTTATGGTGTAAGGAGGTCCCCTGTCTCCCCGCACACAGTGTATTATAACTGCAGCTATAAGGTTATGATGCAAGGAGTTCCCCTGTCTCCCCGCACACAGTGTATTATAACTGCAGCTATAAGGTTATGGTGTAAGGAGGTCCCCTGTCTCCCCGCACACAGTGTATTATAACTGCAGCTATAAGGCTATGGTGTAAGGAGGTCCCCTGTCTCCCTGAACACAGTGTATTATAACTGCAGCTATAAGGCTATGGTGTAAGGAGGTCCCCTGTCTCCCTGAACACAGTGTATTATAACTGCAGCTATAAGGTTATGGTGTAAGGAGGTTCCCTGTCTCCCCGCACACAGTGTATTATAACTGCAGCTATAAGGTTATGGTGTAAGGAGGTTCCCTGTCTCTGTCTCCCCACACACAGTGTATTATAACTGAAGCTATAAGGTTATGGTGTAAGGAGGTCCCCTGTCTCCCCGCACACAGTGTATTATAACTGCAGCTATAAGGTTATGGTGTAAGGAGGTTCCCTGTCTCACAGCACAGTGTATTATAACTGCAGCTATAAGGTTATGGTGTAAGAGGTCCCCTATCTCCCCATGCACACAGTGTATTATAACTGCAGCTATAAGGGTTATGGTGTAAGGAGGTCCCCTGTCTCCTTTACACAGTGTATTATAACTGCAGCTATAAGGTATGGTGTAAGGTCCCTGTCTCACGCACGGTGTATAACTGCAGCTATAAGGTTATGGTGTAGAGGTCCCCTGTCTCCCACTTTTACAGTGTGTATATCATAACTGAAGCTATAAGGTTATGGTGTGAGGAGGTCCCTATGCTCAGCACACAGTGTATTATAACTGCAGCTATAAGGTATGGTGTAAGGAGGTCCCCTGTCTCCCCGCACACAGTGTATTATAATTGCAGCTATAAGGTTATGGTGTAAGGAGGCCCCCTGTCTCCCCGCACACAGTGTATTATAACTGCAGCTATAAGGTTATGGTGTAAGGAGGTCCCTGTCTCCCTGCACACAGTGTATTATAACTGCAGCTATAAGGTTATGGTGTAAGAAGGTCCCCTGTCTCCCGCACACAGTGTATTATAACTGCAGCTATAAGGTTATGGTGTAAGGAGGTCCTCTGTCTCCCCGCACACCATGTATTATAACTGCAGCTATAAGGTTATGGTGTAAGGAGGTTCCCTGTCTCCCTATACACAGTGTATTATAACTGCAGCTATAAGGTTATGGTGTAAGGATGTCCCCTGTCTCCCTATACACAGTGTATTATAACTGCAGCTATAAGGTTATGGTGTAAGGAGGCCCCTGTCTCCCCGCACACAGTGTATTATAACTGCAGCTATAAGGTTATGGTGTAAGGAGGTCCCCTGTCTCCCAGCACACAGTGTATTATAACTGCAGCTATAAGGTTATGGTGTAAGGAGGTCCCCTGTCTCCCAGCACACAGTGTATTATAACTGCAGCTATAAGGTTATGGTGTAAGGGGATTCCGGTCTCCCCACACACAGTGTATTATAACTGCAGCTATAAGGTTATGGTGTAAGGAGATTCCGGTCTCCCTACACACAGTGTATTATAACTGCAGCTATAAGGTTATGGTGTAAGGAGGTCCCCTGTCTCCCCGCACACAGTGTATTATAACTGCAGCTATAAGGTTATGGTGTAAGGTGGTCCCCTGTCTCCCTGCACACAGTGTATTATAACTGCAGCTATAAGGTTATGGTGTAAGGAGGTCCCCTGTCTCCCCGCACACAGTGTATTATAACTGCAGCTATAAGGTTATGGTGTAAGGAGGTCCCCTGTCTCCCTGCACAGAGTTTATTATAACTGCAGCTATAAGGTTATGGTGTAAGGAGGACCCCTGTCTCCCTGCACACAGTGTATTATAACTGAAGCTATAAGGTTATGGTGTAAGGAGGTCCCCTGTCTCCCCGCACACTGTGTATTATAACTGCAGCTATAAGATTATGGTGTAAGGTGGTCCCCTGTCTCCCCGCACACAGTGTATTATAACTGCAGCTATAAGGTTATGGTGTAAGGAGGTCCCCTGTCTCCCAGCACACAGTGTATTCTAACTGCAGCTATAAGGTTATGGTGTAAGGAGGTCCCCTGTCTCCCCGCACACAGTGTATTATAACTGCAGCTATAAGGTTATGGTGTAAGGAGGTCCCCTGTCTCCCCGCACACAGTGTATTATAACTGCAGCTATAAGATTATGGTATAAGGAGGTCCCCTGTCTCCCTGCACACAGTGTATTATAACTGCAGCTATAACGTTATGGTGTAAGGAGGTTCCCTGTCTCTGTCTCCCTGCACACAGTTTATTATAACTGCAGCTATAAGGTTATGATGTAAGGAGGTCCCCTGTCTCCCCGCACACAGTGTATTATAACTGCAGCTATAAGGTTATGGTGTAAGGAGGTCCCCTGTCTCCCTGCACACAGTGTAATATAACTGCAGCTATAAGGTTATGGTGTAAGGAGGTCCCCTGTCTCCCTGCACACAGTGTATTATAACTGTAGCTGTAAGGTTATGGTGTAAGGAGGTCCCCTGTCTCCCCGCACACAGTGTATTATAACTGCAGCTATAAGGTTATGGTGAAGGAGGCCCCCTCTCTCCCTGCACAGTGTATTATAACTGCAGCTATAAGGTTATGGTGTAAGGAGGTCCCCTGTCTCCCCGCACACAGTGTATTATAACTGCAGCTATAAGGTTATAGTGTAAGGAGATTCCGGTCTCCCCACACACAGTGTATTATACCTGCAGCTATAAGGTTATGGTGTAAGGAGGTCCCCTGTCTCCCCGCACACAGTGTATTATAACTGCAGCTATAAGGTTATGGTGTAAGGAGGTCCCCTGTCTCCCTGCACACAGTGTAATATAACTGCAGCTATAAGGTTATGGTGTAAGGAGGTCCCCTGTCTCCCTGCACACAGTGTAATATAACTGCAGCTATAAGGTTATGGTGTAAGGAGGTCCCCTGTCTCCCTGCACACAGTGTATTATAACTGCAGCTATAAGGTTATAGTGTAAGGAGGTCCCTGTCTCCCCACACACAGTGTATTATAACTGCAGCTATAAGGTTATGGTGTAAGGAGGTCCCATGTCTCCCCGCACACAGTGTATTATAACTGCAGCTATAAGGTTATGGTGTAAGGGGGTCCCCTGTCTCCCCGTACACAGTGTATTATAACTGCAGCCATAAGGTTATGGTGTAAGGAGGTCCCCTGTCTCCCCGCACACAGTGTGTTATAACTGCAGCTATAAGGTTATGGTGTAAGGAGGTCCCCTGTCTCCCCGCACACAGTGTATTATAACTGCAGCTATAAGGTTATGATGCAAGGAGGTCCCCTGTCTCCCTGCACACAGTGTATTATAACTGCAGCTATAAGGTTATGATGCAAGGAGGTCCCCTGTCTCCCTGCACACAGTTTATTATAACTGCAGATATAAGATTATGGTATAAGGAGGTCCCCTGTCCCTGTCTCCCCACACAGTTTATTATAACTGCAGATATAAGGTTATGGTGTAAGGAGATCCCCTGTCTCCCTGCACACAGTGTATTATAACTGCAGCTATAAGGTTATGGTGTAAGGAGGTCCCGTCTCCCCGCACACAGTGTATTATAACTGCAGCTATAAGGTTATGGTGTAAGGAGGTCCCCTGTCTCCCTGCACACAGTGTATTATAACTGCAGCTATAAGGTTATGATGCAAGGAGGTCCCCTGTCTCCCTGCACACAGTGTATTATAACTGCAGCTATAAGGTTATGATGCAAGGAGGTCCCCTGTCTCCCTGCACACAGTGTATTATAACTGCAGCTATAAGGTTATGGTGTAAGGAGGCCCCCTGTCTCCCAGCACACAGGGTATTATAACTGCAGCTATAAGGTTATGGTGTAAGGAGGTCCCCTGTCTCCCCGCACACAGTGTATTATAACTGCAGCTATAAGGTTATGGTGTAAGGAGGTCCCCTGTCTCCTGCACACAGTGTATTATAACTGCAGCTATAAGGTTATGGTGTAAGGAGGTCCCCTGTCTCCCCGCACACAGTGTATTATAACTGCAGCTATAAGGTTATGGTGTAAGGAGGTCCCCTGTCTCCCCGCACACAGTTTATTATAACTGCAGCTATAAGGTTATGGTGTAAGGAGATCCCCTGTCTCCCTGCACACAGTGTATTATAACTGCAGCTATAAGGTTATGGTGTAAGGAGGACCCGCCTCCCCTACTACTGCGTACAGTAATCCGTAGCTATAAGGTTATGGTGTAAGGAGGTCCTCTGTCTCCCCGTACACAGTGTATTATAACTGCAGCTATAAGGTTATGGTGTAAGGAGGCCCCCTGTCTCTCCACACACAGTGTATTATAACTGCAGCTATAAGGTTATGGTGTAAGGAGGTCCCCTGCGGGAGCACACAGTGTATTATAACTGCAGCTATAAGGTTACGGTGTAAGGAGGTCCCGTCTCCCCACACACAGTGTATTATAACTGCAGCAATAAGGTTATGGTGTAAGGATGTCCCCTGTCTCCCCTTCTGCACACGTGTATTATAACTGCAGCTATAAGGTTAAGGGTGTAAGGAGGTCCCCTGCTCTGCAATAAGGTGTATTATGGGTTATAAGGTTATGGTGTAAGGAGGTCCCGTCTCCTCAGCATTGTGTATTTATAACTGCAGCTATAAGGTTATGGTGTAAGGAGGTCCCCTGTCTCCCTGCACACAGTGTATTATAACTGCAGCTATAAAGTTATGGTGTAAGGATGTCCCCTGTCTCCCCGCACACAGTGTATTATAACTGCAGCTATAAGGTTATGGTGTAAGGAGGACCCCTGTCTCCCCACACACAGTGTATTATAACTGCAACTATAAGGTTATGGTGTAAGGAGGTCCCCTGTCTCCCCGCACACAGTGTATTATAACTGCAGCTATAAGGTTATGGTGTAAGGAGGTCCCCTGTCTCCCCACACAGTGTATTATAACTGCAGCTATAAGGTTATGGTGTAAGGAGGTCCCTGTCTCCCCGCACACAGTGTATTATAACTGCAGCTATAATGTTATAGTGTAAGGAGGTCCCCTGTCTCCCCGCACACAGTGTATTATAACTGCAGCTATAAGGTTATGGTGTAAAGAGGTCCTCTGTCTCCCCGCACACAGTGTATTATAACTGCAGCAATAACGTTATTGTGTAAGGACGTCCCCTGTCTCCCTGCACACAGTGTATTATAACTGCAGCTATAAGGTTATGGTGTAAGGAGGTCCCCTGTCTCCCCGCACACAGTGTATTGTAACTGCAGCTATAAGGTTATGGTGTAAGGAGGTCCTCTGTCTCACTGCACACAGTGTATTATAACTGCAGCTATAAGGTTATGGTGTAAGGAGGTCCCCTGTCTCCCCGCACACAGTGTATTATAACTGCAGCTATAAGGTTATGGTGTAAGGAGGTCCCCTGTCTCCCCGCACACTGTGTATTATAACTGCAGCTATAAGGTTATGGTGTAAGAAGGTCCCCTGTCTCCCCGCACACAGTGTATTATAACTGCAGCTATAAGGTTATGGTGTAAGGAGGTCCCCTGTCTCCCCGCACACAGTGTATTATAACTGCAGCTATAAGGTTATGGTGTAAGGAGGTCCCCTTTCTCCTCGCACACAGTGTATTATAACTGCAGCTATAAGGTTATGGTATATGAATGTCCCCTGTCTCCCCCCACAAAGTGTATTATAACTGCAGCTATAAGGTTATGGTGTAAGGAGGTCCCCTGTCTCCCCACACACAGTGTATTATACCGTGTTGCAAGGTTAAGGGTGTAAGGAGATCCCCTGTTTCCCCGCACACAGTGCATTATAACTGCAGCTATAAGGTTATGGTGTAAGGAGGTCCCCTGTCTCCCCACACACAGTGCATTATAACTGCAGCTATAAGGTTATGGGGAAAGGAGGTCCCCTGTCTCCCCGCACAGTGTATTATAACTGCAGCTATAAGGTTATGGTGTAAGGAGGTCCCCTGTCTCCCTGCACACAGTGTATTATAACTGCAGCTATAAGGTTATGGTGTAAGGAGGTCCCCTGTCTCCCCGCACACAGTGTATTATAACTGCAGCTATAAGGTTATGGTGTAACGAGGCCCCCTGTCTCCCCGCACACAGTGTATTATAACTGTAGCTATAAGGTTATGGTGTAAGGAGGTCCCCTGTCTCCCCGCACACAGTGTATTATAACTGCAGCTATAAGGTTATGGTGTAAGGAGGTCCCCTGTCTCCCCGCACACAGTGTATTATAACTGCAGCTATAAGTTTATGGTGTAAGGAGGTCCCCTGTCTCCCCACACACAGTGTATTATAACAGCAGCTATAAAGTTATGGTGTCAGGAGGTCCCCTGTCTCCCCGCACACAGTGTATTATAACTGCAGCTATAAGGTTATGGTGTAAGGAGGTCCCCTGTCTCTCCACACACAGTGTATTATAACTGCAGCTATAAGGTTATGGTGTAAGGAGGCCCCTGTCTCCCCCCACAAAGTGTATTATAACCGCAGCTATAAGGTTATGGTGTAAGGAGGTCCCCTGTCTCCCCACACAGTGTATTATAACAGCAGCTATAAGGTTATGGTGTAAGGAGGTCCCCTGTCTCCCCGCACACAGTGTATTATAACTGCAGCTATAAGGTTATGGTGTAAGGAGGTCCCCTGTCTCCTCGCACACCGTGTATTATAACTGCAGCTATAAGGTTATGGTGTAAGGAGGTCCCCTGTCTTCCTGCACACAGTGTATTATAACTGCAGCTATAAGGTTATGGTGTAAGGAGGTCCCCTGTCTCCCTGCACAGAGTTTATTATAACTGCAGATATAAGGTTATAGAGTAAGGACGCCTCCTGTCCTTGTGGGGTGGAAAAATATTCCTCTGAAAAACAAATGTCAAGTTTACCGTCTCTTGGCTTCTATTCTAGCTGCTATACGAAGTCGCCGTGCCTGGATTCGTTCTTGCTGGTCCTCTGAATTTAGAGATGGACCAGTGTTTTTGTTTTCTTCATCGTCATTTAAATCTAAGTTCAGACTCATGATATTTTCGGCACTGTATCAGAATAGACAGGAATCATATAAGAATCATAATGCACAGTACACAGGCTCACACCAACATGTTAATTCAGTAATTAGTGCGTAGAGTACTTAGTGAGCTGTGGCTGGACGACAGCTGGCTGGTAAAACCTAGGCCCAATATCAGCCAAACAGCAGATTTGCATTTTTAGGTTCAGTATAACAAGTTGAATGCTGGCTTGGCAGCTAGCTACAAGTAAGGGGTGCCTGCAGGTGAAAAACCTAATGAAAAAATAAAATCCATATTTTTTGTTTGTTAGTTTTTCTTTATAGGAATCTGCACTAAATGCAGGGCTGTTACGTCACAGTCTGGTATATTTGCAAATGGAAAAGCAGTGGCAGCTCTGGCTACCTGTCACCTGTGGCCCCAGCTCTGGCTACCTGTCTCCTGTGGCCCTAGCTCTGGCTACCTGTCTCCTGTGGCCCCAGCTCTGGCTACCTGTCTCCTGTGGCCCCAGCTCTGGCTACCTGTCTCCTGTGGGCCCTAGCTCTGGCTACCTGTCTCCTGTGGCCCCAGCTCTGGCTACCTGTCTCCTGTGGCCCCAGCTCTGGCTACCTGTCTCCTGTGGCCCCAGCTCTGGCTACCTGTCTCCTGTGGTCCCCGCTCTGGCTACCTGTCTCCTGTGGCCCCAGCTCTGGCTACCTGTCTCCTGTGGCCCCAGCTCTGGCTACCTGTCACCTGTGGCTCCCGCTCTGGCTACCTGTCACCTGTGGCCCCAGCTCTGGCTACCTGTCTCCTGTGGCCCCAGCTCTGGCTACCTGTCTCCTGTGGCCCCAGCTCTGGCTACCTGTCTCCTGTGGCCCCAGCTCTGGCTACCTGTCTCCTGTGGCCCCAGCTCTGGCTACATGTCTCCTGTGGCCCCAGCTCTGGCTACCTGTCTCCTGTGGCCCCAGCTCTGGCTACCTGTCTCCTGTGGCCCCAGCTCTGGCTACCTGTCTCCTGTGGCCCCAGCTATGGCTACATGTCTCCTGTTTCCCCAGCTCTTGCTACCTGTCACCTGTGGCCCCAGCTCTGGCTACCTGTCTCCTGTGGCCCCAGCTCTGGCTACCTGTCTCCTGTGGCCCCAGCTCTGGCTACCTGTCTCCTGTGGCCCCAGCTATGGCTACATGTCTCCTGTGGCCCCAGCTATGGCTACATGTCTCCTGTTGCCCCAGCTCTTGCTACCTGTCACCTGTGGCCCCAGCTCTGGCTACCTGTCTCCTGTGGCCCCAGCTCTGGCTACCTGTCTCCTGTGGCCCCCGCTCTGGCTACCTGTCTCCTGTGGCCCCCGCTCTGGCTACCTGTCTCCTGTGGCCCCAGCTCTGGCTATCTGTCTCCTGTGGCCCCTGTTTCTACCTGTGGCCCCTGTTTATATCTGTGGCCCCTGTTTCTACCTGTGGCCCCTGTTTCTACCTGTGGCCCCTGTATAGCTGTGGCCACTGTTTATATCTGTGGCCACTGTTTCTACCTGTGGCCCCTGTACAGCTGTGGCCACTGTTTATATCTCTGGACCCTGTATATATCTGTGGCCCTTGTTTCTATGTGTGGCCCCTGTTTATAGCTGTGGTCCCTCTTTCTATGTGTGGCCCCTGTTTATAGCTGTAGCCCCTCTTTCTATGTGTGGCCCCTGTTTATAGCTGTGGCCCCTGATTATAGCTGTGGCTCCTGTTTCTATGTGTGGCCCCTGTTTATAGCTGTGGCTCCTGTTTCTATGTGTGGCCCCTGTTTCTAGCGGTGTGGACCCTGTTTATAGCGGTGTGGACCCTGTTTATAGCGGTGTGGCCCCTGGTTATAGCTGTGTGGCCCTGTTTATAGCTGTGGCCCCTGTTTATAGCTGTGGCTCCTGTTTCTATGTGTGGCCCCTGTTTATAGCTGTGGCTCCTGTTTCTATGTGTGGCCCCTGTTTCTAGCGGTGTGGACCCTGTTTATAGCGGTGTGGACCCTGTTTATAGCGGTGTGGCCCCTGGTTATAGCTGTGTGGCCCTGTTTATAGCTGTGGCCCCTGTTTATAGCTGTGGCTCCTGTTTCTATGTGTGGCCCCTGTTTATAGCTGGCCCCTGGTTATAGCGGTGTGGCCCCTGGTTATAGCTGTGGCCCCTGGTTATAGCTGTGGCCCTGGTTATAGCTGTGTGGCCCCTGGTTATAGGCGTGTGGCCCCTGGTTATAGCGTGCCCCTGTTTATAGCGGTGTGGCCCCTGGTTATAGCGGTGTGGCCCCTGGTTATAGCGGTGTGGCCCCTGGTTATAGCTGTGGCCCCTGGTTATAGCTGTGTGGCCCCTGGTTATAGCGGTGTGGCCCCTGGGTTAGAGCGGTGTGGCCCCTGGTTATAGCTGTGGCCCCTGGTTATAGCGGTGTGGCCCCTGTTTATAGCTGTGGCCCCTGTTTATAGCTGTGTGGCCCCTGGTTATGGCGGTGTGGCCCCTGGTTATGGCGGTGTGGCCCCTGGTTATAGCGGTGTGGCCCCTGGTTATGGCGGTGTGGCCCCTGGTTATGGCGGTGTGGCCCCTGTTTATAGCGGTGTGGCCCCTGGTTACAGCTGTGTGGCCCCTGGTTATAGCGGTGTGGCCCCTGGTTATAGCTGTGGCCCCTGTTTATAGCTGTGTGGCCCCTGGTTATAGCTGTGGCCCCTGGTTATAGCGCTGTGGCCCCTGGTTATAGCGCTGTGGCCCCTGGTTATAACTGTGGCCCCTGGTTATAGCTGTGGCCCCTGGTTATAGCGGTGTGGCCCCTGGTTATAGCTGTGGCCCCTGGTTATAGCGGTGTGGCCCCTGGTTATAGCTGTGGCCCCTGGTTATAGCGCTGTGGCCCCTGGTTATAGCGCGCTGTGGCCCTGGTTATAACTGTGGCCCTGGTTATAGCTGTGGCCCCTGGTTATAGCGGTGTGGCCCCTGGTTATAGCGCTGTGGCCCCTGGTTATAGCTGTGTGGCCCCTGGTTATAGCGCTGTGGCCCCTGGTTATAGCTATGGCCCCTGGTTATAGCTGTGTGGCCCCTGGTTATAACTGTGGCCCCTGGTTATAGCTGTGTGGCCCCTGATTATAGCTGTGTGGCCCCTGTTTATAGCGCTGTGGCCCCTGGTTATAGCTGTGTGGCCCCTGTTTATAGCGCTGTGGCCCCTGGTTATAGCTGTGTGGCCCCTGGTTAGAGCGGTGTGGCCCCTCTTTATAGCTGTGGCCCCCTGGTTATAGCGGTGTGGCCCCTGGGTGTCGGGTACCTGTCTCCCGCAGTCTGTATCGGCGAGTATTGCGGTGTCTCCGTTGCTAGGAGACGCAGATACTACGGTCTGGCCAATCAGAGCACATTCTCTCTCACCCTCCCACCCCCTCCCCGATGATGAGCCGCTATTGGTCCCCAGTGACGGGGCGGGGTCTGTATGCAATGAATAAGAGGGACACGCCCTGCGCTCCAACCGGTGCCCACACCGAAAATGGCCGAAATAAGATCCCTTGGAAACTTACTGCGCATGCGCAGGTATTCAAAAGGCGGGATGTGAGTTAACTGGTTGCTTAGCAATATATTGCGGTCCATAGGAGAGTGTCAATCAATCGATTCCTCATCTGAGCATGTTCTCTTACAGTGACAGGGCACTGAGCCAGTGGGATCCTCAGCAATTCATCCCAATGCAATAACAGTGTGCCTGAGATAATAAATAATAAATAAATAAATAATAATAAATAAATACCAATAATAAATAATAAATAAATAATAATAATAAATAAATAAATAATAAACACCAATAATACTAAATAAATAATAAACACCAATAATACTAATAATAAATAATACTAATAATTAATAAAATAAATAATACTACTAATACTAAATAATACTACTAATAAATACTAATAAATAATACTACTAATAATAATACTAATAAATACAATACTACTAATAAATACTACTACTAATACTAAATACTAATAAATAATAAATACTACTAATACAACTAAATAATAATAATAAATACTAAATAATAATACTAATACTAATAATAATACTAAATAATAAATAATACTATTACTAAATACTAATAAATACTAATAATAAATATATAATAAAACTAAATACTACTAATAATAAATAATACGAATAATAAATAATACCACTAAATAATAATAAATAATACTAAGAAATAATAATACTAAGAATACTAATAAATAATACTAATAATAATACTAAATAATACTGATAATAAACGTGGGAGAGTTCTCTGACTATAAGCACTGTTTAACTCATTTTACATCAGGTTTATAATTAAATATACTGTAATTTGGTCTTTATTAAGTTTCAGGGGAATGGATGAAATATACCCACCCAGTTGTGTTCGAGTGTGTAGAAAGTATGTTGTGTTTCCAGAAAAAAAAGTTCCTCCAGTTCTAGCATGTCCCTAACTTGGGGGATTTAAAAAAAAAAAAAAAAAACCCTGAAGCCTGTGCATGGGTTCCAGATTTCCTGCCAGGAAGTCGGGGTTATTTCTCAATGGGAGCAGTGGGCTCTGGGTTGTGGTCAAGAAGTATTTGGGTCCAAATCAGTTCACAGTGACATAGTCGCCTTCACAAAAGGGTTGGTGTCTGCCGCGACCATATCCTCGCTTTTCCCAATCCAGTGCCTGTAGGTCTGTACGGATGCTCTCCGATTCGAGTCGTACCCATTCCTTCCGACTGTATGGCATTGTCCAACTAAGAATTCTCATAAAATGAGCTGCTAGGTAGTACTTGTTGAAATCACGTACGGCTAGCCCGCCTTGGATCGTAGGGAGTGCCAGTTGGGAGTGGCGACTGTCCCCTCCTATTAAATCTCCTAATCTACGTCTTGAAGAAGGAAATCGGAACTAAAATCGACAACGTTTTGAATATGAACAACAGCTGTGGCAACAATGTCATCTTTACTGCGTTTATGCGGCCCACCCAGGAGGTGTATAAAGTGTTCCATTGTCTCATTTCCTAGGTCACCTTCTGCAGGATCAGTTAGAAGTTATTCGCGTATAAGTCCGCCGGGTGCTTCATGAGCCACACCTCTAAATATCGGATGTGAGTGTCGCACCATCTTAAGGGGAATCTGCATGTAAGGGCTTTGCGTTGAGGTCGAGCCTTTGAGTAATTTATTTGCAGGTTCGAATTGGAGCCAAGGACTTGAATTCTTCCATTATTGCCTTTAGGGATTTATTCGGGTCTGTTAAAATGAAAAGAAGATCGTCTCCATATGCCATGATCTTATGCTGGCTCTTCTCCATTGTGAGACCACTAATGTGGGCGCTCCTTCTTATTTTGTTCAGGAATGGTTTGAGCGATATCAAAAAAGGAGGGGGGTGGACAAGGGACATCCCTGCCACATGCCATTTTGTATTGTAAGTGGATCTGATAGGGCACCTTTTATTCTCAAGCTTACTGATGCGGAACTGAGGCCCTATACCAATCTCTTGTAGGACACTGTGAATTAGCTCCCAGGCCACCCAGTCAAATGCTTTTTCCACATCCATAGACAAGGTTTTGCTTAGTTTGCGATCAGTTTCAGGGCCCTGATTGTATTATTCCCGACCTCCCTGCCCAGGATAAAGCCTGTTTGGTCTGGATGTATAATCCCTGATAGAATGGGTGCTATGCAACTTAAGATCTTAGCACGGAGATCGGTCGGTAGCTTTGACAGACCGTTTGATCTTTTCTATTCTTGGGCAAGAGCGTAAAATTTACTGAGGTGAAATGTGGGGAGGGCTGTGTGCCGTCAAGGATAGAGTTCAGCGCCGCCAACAGCTTCGGAAGCAACTCCTGTATGAAAGTTTTGTAGTGTAGAAGTGGAAATCCATCTTGACCTGGCCACTTAGATACTTCTTCAATCCTTATTTGGGTTTCCAGTGACTCCAAATCTTCGTCCTACAGGTGTGTCAGATTAGCCGAGTGCAGGTAGTTGCAAATCTCCACATTCGTTCTGTGTCTGTTATCGTGGTGTCTGGGTGAGATTTATATAGAGATCGATAGTATCGAGGAAACGTCTCTGATATTCGATCCGGGAGGTGATGGACGTTTTAAGACGTAACTTTGGTCTTCGGTATATATAACAGTGTTCTGCAATGTCTGAGATGTGCCAGGAGGCGGTCGCATTTATTGCCATGCTCGGGCATTAGGTGTTTGAAGTGTTGGAAAGAGCATTGCACGAATCGGTGGATGAGCGTTGAAAGCTGGTTTCGCTTCAGTAGGAAGTAGGTTCTTGTAAGTGTTTTTATTGAAGGTGCGCTTGTGGTACCGCCTCCAGGTCTGCTATCTCTTTGCTTAGGATCACTAGCTCCTGGGTCATTGCTCGTTTGCTAGCTAAACACTGTGTCAGAGCAGACATGCCAGGAGTTTCATTATATGTAAAATATTCCTGTAGGATTTGCAGCTGCAACCAGGGTGGGACCGGATAGTATTGATTCGAGTTGGCAGTGATCAGACCAGGTCATCAGGAGGATGTCCGATCCAGTCAGGAGCTTTAGGCTGGTGAACGGCATAAAAAAATAAATAAAAATAAATAAAAAAAAGTAATCACGTGTTGCGAGTCATAGAATAAAACGTGTAGTCCCGAATGGATGGATTGAGTGCTCTCCAGCAGTCCGTTAATTAATAAGTGTGAAGAAGGCGTATTGTCTTAGCGTACCTATTGTCTGGGGTCCCTACAGTTGTTGTACCGGTGTCCATCTCCGGATGTAGTGAGATGTATTTCTGGTCCTGTATCATGGCCTTAGTGAAAAGGTACCTGCCGTGCGGCTCTCTCACAGTTTCCAGTACCATAAAGGTAATATTATAGGTCGGAGAATAAGATCCCCATGCCCCGAGATTTCCTCTGTGAATTATGACTAAATAGCGCCAGAGCTCTCCCCTCCTGAAAGTGTGTCTCCAATCTCTTCAAGTCCCTCAGGAAGCACATGCACTTTCCTCTAGTGTTGAGGCCGGGAACGTTGTATGTGACCGAGACCATATCTTCATGAGCGTATCTCATGCTCTCCGGTGGCTGAGAGGAACTTTGAATGTTACCACCAACTGAAACTTTTTATTGTGTCCGGTCAAATATTCATTAGGTGACGTAGCGCAGATTGATCTCTGCTCCATGTTCTCAGGATAGAGCAGTCTGGATTAGGTCCATCTGAAGTAGAGTGTACTTCTCTAATTACGCTTCTCTAATTACTTCTTTAATTACGCTTTTCTGGTCCGGGTTTGAACTTCTAGATGGAGATTTTCTGAAATGTGAGATTGAATGATAGAACAAAGGAGAACTGTCAAGTTCTATGTGACCCATTCGTCTGTTGCTAAATCATGTCATTTTTTGAAATACTCCAGGAGTCTTCCACCTACTTTTTGTGTCAGAATTTATAATTTTTTCACTTTCCCAAGAACTTGCATTTGTTCTTGTTATCAAAAGGGCTGTCTTTAATAGCTGTGTGAGCTGGTTTTGCAAAACAAATCTCTGTAAAAAAAAAAAAGATCTACTTTTATTGAAGAATCTCCTGTTCCAACGATACTTTTTCTCTACTGGAAGATCACCCATCACAGTTTGCCTTGCTTGATTTGGATATCACATAAGGAGTGTTTGCATGCAGAGTCCATAGACTAACCTATTAGCCAGACCACCCTTCTTGCTACTTTAGTGAGATCCATGTATTTGGCCACCAGTTTCAAAGCTTCTGAAGACGAATCTGCAAAGTTTCAGAATGACATTTCTTAGCAGACGTTTGCATCTTCTTTCGACGTATATAATTTATCTAGTGAATCCAGAAAAGCACCTTGTGCCTTAGCTACAGCAGAACCTGTAATCAAGGCTTAACTTTGTGCTGCATTGGTTAGAAAAATCTTTTTTGAACATGGCATCGTGCAACTTGAGTCTCCAATAGGCAGAGTGGTCTTTTTGACTAGCTGCATAGTAGTTGACTTTGGAAGGTCTTCTAATTTCTTATGGTCATCTTCCTTAATAGAAAATATAGTTTTAAAGTGTTTGTTAAGAAATGTCTTCTTGGAGCATGAAATCTTTAAGGTTAGAGTGAAAAGAAAAGTATTTTATTTTCTTATGCGTGCTTGGATCTACATTATCTTCCATAAACAAAGAACCTCTTTAATGAGTTTATGTAAAAATTCACCGGGAAAGGCAAAATCCTCACTGATGAAGTATCCAAATCTTTAGAAGTTTAACTACCTGATGAATCGGTACTTGAGTCTGAAAACTCTTTGTGTTTACACTTTTTATTTTCCTGTGAGGATTTTACATCCCATTGTTGGAGACTGGACCGGAATCAAGAAAGAAAGGAAGAAATTGGGCAGAAGCAATAGGAGCGCAGAGCACAGGCATGCGTTCCAGCATTCGATGGATGAAGGCCTCTCCAGTCAAGGGGAGCCCTTCCCAGCCACCTTACCTTGTCTGGAAAATAAAGCCCTACCTACTTGCTCCGAGGCAGACAACACGGGACATATTGGTGTTGGGAGTAGGTGGAGGACGAGGAGGGGCTACTTTTTTTTTAAATTTTTTTTTTTTTTTACAGTTCTGCCTGCCTCTTTTGCTGCACGAGGTGATTGTTATTTTGCACTGCCTCTAATCTGGGGTGAAAATTTATTTTTGCAGAATCTCTTTAAATGCCTTTCATTTATCCTCTGTGCTTTTGTCAGTAAGGAGTTCCTGACAGTCAATTTGTTGTAATAGATGCCATTATTCTGTTGAAATTGGCCTTTTAAAAGACACTATAGAATACAAAATACAAAACTAAGTGCGTGGATTAGGCCTTCCCCATAGGAAAGCATTGAATCAGTGTTTTCCTGTGGGATTTAGAAGACCCTGGACGGCCTCCTGCAAAGCGTGAACATCCACCGTCGTTTCACGGAGTCAACTCTGTGAAAGGCCAATAAGCGCCTCTAGTGGCCGTCTTTTAGTCAGCCACTAGAGGCAGGCTTAACCCTGCAATGTAAATATTACAGTTTCTCTTAAAGTGACATGGAAATTGCAAGCAGACCACTTGGTGGTCTAAGTGCCCATAGTGTTCCTTTAAGCGTTTTTGTAGAGCCCATGTAAATTTGTTCTTTTGAGTTAATCTCAAGTAATACCGTATTATGATCACTATTTCCACCTTGGCACCCAAGCTTGAAAATACGTCAACATTATTAGTTATTGCAAAATCAAGAAAAGCATTTATACTAGTTGGAGCTTCTGCAAATGGAGACATAAAAGTGTCATTTAACAGGTTCAAAACCAGTTTTGATGAACTGTACCATTACTCCCTCTGGCCCAATGTGTGGATAAATAAAATGTCCAATAATTAAACTTACCTGCAATCCAGCACAGTCAATCGTATTCTCTCTACAGCCTGATTCACCTCCTGAGCAACAATACACAATGATTTCTATCCATTTTAATGTTTATGGACCTATGGCACATGCATGTTAAATAAATGAGAATTATTTGCTGCAGTGCATTCATAAAGTGTACAGAGACCTTCATTTTTTGTTGCAGCATTAAGATAGAATTGTTTATATTGGGGTTTTTTTTCACATCAATACCCTATAACAAAGAAAGAAAAAAAAAAAGCTGATTTTTGGAAACTGTTCAGGTTTATCCTACTGTGCGTGATGAGGCCAAATCTAAAGAGCTTTGAATTTCAAAGGTCTTCAAGAGGAAACATGGTCCTTGCCCCAAACCAGGTATGTCCAGCCCTGTTCTGCATATTTGTGCAGGCCAAAATTGTGTTGCATACCATTACTTTTTGTACAAGTAACCCTTCTCACCCACTGTTACTATGGGAGTGTGTACACGTTTGACACCATAGGTATACTACGCTGAAGTGGAACATACTGTGCTTGAAAATGAGAGATATCTCAAGTAGCCTTCATGGTAAAATATTTTATAAATAAATAAATCTGGATTGGTTGTTAAAATGCAGGAATGGAGCAGTCACGAAGGAACCAGAAGGACTGTTTCCAGTGATTGCTCCACTTTTCACATATCTTCCAGACATTGCTCTTTGGACATAAGCCTATGGACCTTTTATACATGATCGACCAATAAATAAAATAGGCACACACACACACACGATATAACTGTTTCATTTTTTTCTGTTATTAAAAATAAAAAAATAAAATAAAACAAAAACAGTTTTCCAAATTGACTTTTGAATTTCACATTTGACAAGTCTTGGTTTACAGTGATTTATAATTTACAAAAAAAATTAAAAACGAACATTTAAATAGTAAATAGTTTGTCCTTGTATGAGAGCACCTGCCACAAATGTATCACAGGTTTAATAATGATTAACAAGTATGAGACGCGCAGGGGGCGGGATTCCAATAAGTACTCCAGTCATTGAAAATATGCCGCATTTACCACCGTTTACAGGTCTCACAATATATAGAAATCAAATACGAAAACAAAGTTCAAACATAATAGCTTTAAACTTCTAACAGCCTTTTTTTTGTGGATATTTCAGTTTAATTTTATACAAAAACAACAGCATATACCTACCTAAACAAGATACACACAATAGATAAACAATGTATACTTCTATAGGATGAAGAGACCACACCCAAACATAAATAAATGGTACATTAAATAAGATAAAAACAAAGTTGGAACTTGGCAAAAGTTTCTCATGGTCGGACTTTGAATCTACCCCCAAATAAACATCTGCAAAATGAATTTGTGTTTCCCACATTAAGATACATATCAATACTATTAATTTACACATTAATACCAATGGCCGTACTTGGCGCCTCCAAGTGTACCCTGTCCAGAAATGAATATGGGTTTAGATACACTCTTCATACAAGCACGGCAACAGAAAATAAAACAAAACAAAAAGCAGGCGGCATCAAAGAAAATCGGCATGCTATTACTTCCCACCACCACTGGGAAAAACCAACAGAAAATGAAGCGTAGCACCAGACAGGGGATCTACAGAAAAGAAAGGTAAGGAACATAGGGGCCAGCCCTGCCACCAAGAGAATGGTGTTGGAGGGACAATCTAAATTTGGATAAATAATTTGCAGAACGGCCTATATTTTTTTCTCCTGTTAATAACCCAATGCATTATCTACATGGAGGCTAATCACACTTTAAAATATGCACCTAGAAAATGCCAGGAGAAAATTCAACACAACAGGGAATAAGTGCAAAATATTTTCTGCACTTCAAATGTGGCCTTGAACACCATAACTGTCCATGTGTGGTGGTTAAAGTTCACCTTTAGGTAAAGATTGAATTTACACAGTATGTTGGCAAATGTGTACATTAAAGGATATAGTGATCAGAAGATCACTTTCTCGTGAACTGGACATGGCAGGTGCGGGCACTGCTATCCCACCCTAAATGATGTGTGCAGTATTGCACCATTCCAAGCAGTTGTGGGATGCCAGTGACTCTGTACATATGGTCACTCTTGATCTACATGATTACGGTCTACATCACTATACTAATGGCGGCACTCCAACATAGACGGAGACAGATCTTTGTTTAGCTGGCGTGTATAGACAGAGTGATCAAACTGTAGAACCCCAGCTGTTAAAACTGCCCATAATGCTTCACCAGTCTTAAGAATAGCAGAATATCATTTGAATATTTAAAGTTGGCAACAATAGGGGATCTACATTTTGGCCATCTCTGGTACATAGATTTTTATTTCCTCCAAAAGTAACACAAAATCCCCTGATCATTGAGTGCTACAAATGTTGGATCTGTGGGATTCTCAAACCTCGGGTGTAAAGTTATGGTTAATTATACATAATCTAAGGTGTATATCCATAATTTTAGATTTCAAATTTCTATTTTATAATTGCCAATGTTGCAATGGAAGCGTTGATCGAATGGTTTCAACCACACGTCAAAATTCCAGGTGTGACCAGCCACATTAGAGATATCTGGAAATCTGGGAAGTGTTCGGCTTACTTACAGCCGAAGGCCTGCAGCAACAGACTGAAAACTCACAAAGGACAATGGCTGCCTCATTTAAATACAAATCAGCTGTAAGAAGAAAGATCAGTGTGAATGGCTTGAAAAGGGTCTGTTGTTCTAGATTTGAAGGACATTAGATAAGGTAATATCACATAAAACATCTTCTCTGGTGTATTGTAGACAGACGTCTTGCTTTAACGCTACGGATAAAAACAGAAATGGCGAAATGAAGAGCTGAATGATAAAGCGCAGCCTTGTGTGAAACACCTTGACCTCCTTCATGCAGTGTAACAGACATCCGTGAGCTTCACACAACACATGTAGTTTGGTTTAAGACATTTTCAGCTTCACTTGTGCTCACATGTCACGTCATGGCACTTGATTTACCAACACAGACGAGGACTCCTTTGGCATATGTACCATATACATACAAGTATAGATTTCATATGTCAGCTGACCCGTGCAAGGTCACTGGTCTAGGTGACCATTATGTTCCCGGTAAGACATCATGTGCAGAGGAGCACACATGTACAAACGCATAGTAAATCCAAAATGACGGAGGGGCGTTTGTACAAGGAACATTCAACTGGTCTTCTATTTACAATCAAGCAGTCTGTCCGTTATCACAAGGAAATCTGTTTTGTTTTTTTGTTGCTCTTTTCAAATGGTCTGAGGATAATGTGAGTGGTTCCAGTGTACCCAAAGGGCGAATGCTTTTTGTTTGTGGTGATGGACGAAGCTGGCAGAAGCTGTTTTACAAAACCTCTGCAGATTGCAAGCCGACTTTCTCTTCCTCCTCTAGTCAATCCATATTGGGTTTTTTAAGTGAGAAAGGCAAAATGTTGAAATGTTTACTCAACTGATTTACCTGGAAAAAAATAATGAAAACAAAATGAGATAGTCAGTAATTGAAAGCCAAGCCACACCACATGTTCCCAGAAATGACAATTCAGTCTTCTATACAAAAGAATACATAAATAAAATTAAAAGTGTTTATACTGCAGCTTGAATTTAGTAGAAACACAGAACAGCTGCTACTTAAACTGTAGATGATTAGTAAAATACAAATCGGTTTTATTAGTTTTTTTAGACCAATATAGTGTTAGTAATACAAACATGTATTTCTAACACTACAATGCGGGACTACAGGTTTAACTGCCCCCCTCTCTGAATTGAGGTATTTTACTTACCTTTTCTCCATCTCCGTTCGGAAATAGTCGCACTCCGTAGGAAAGTATTGGGTGTCTATTGCACATGTGCGGCACAATGCCTTACTGCGCCAATCAGCATCTCCTCATAGATATCCTTGAATCAATGCATCTCTAGGAGAATCGTACAGCATTTCCATGCAAAGCGTGGAGACGCTGAGTGCAGGACCTAGCTGGGAAGTCCCTCAATTAGGTGTTGTGGTGACCAGCTTATGTATGCCTTTCTTACAGGGGGATAAGCTTTACCCTTTGGTATGGTAATTATCTAATTCAATACCTTTACAAGTCAGGAAAGAGATAACCACTTCCCCCTATTTCCATTCCTCCCTGTTCCTTCTTGGCTGTGCTACTGAGCAGACACGGGCTAATTTTTATCATGATGAACTGTGAGTGGGATCTGATGACATTATAAGGTTGTTATTGTCCGTTAGTTAGATTGTATGTCATTATTTGTATGATGACGCTATTTTGTCTCTAAATAAATATTTGTTAAAGTAGACGGACCAGAGTTTATATGTGTATGCGTACATAATTTATGTAGTTTGGTAATACACCACAGCTGTCTGAGTGACTGCCACTAGAGGAGCTACTAGGCAGCAATGTAAACACTGAAAGGCAGCATCTACACTGGTGAACCTGCAGGCACAGGCTAAAGACACCAGCACCACTACATTAAGCTCTGGTGACTATACAGCCTCTTAAAAAAACCTTAACAAAACAAATTAGCCAGTGTGTCTGTATTTTCTCATACATATCTTGTAGGCTATTTCTCAGGTAACCAGACTAATTGATTCCATTGTTGCAGTCATTCAGACTGTGCATTGCAATCTGCCAAGAACAGTCACCGAGTGCGGAGATACCGTGTGACGGCTCTTCTACTGTTCTTGTTATTATTTTAAAGTGTTGTGGGTGTCATTTCCAGCACAGGGTTAAACTAAACGGACTCAGTCTTCAATTTACCCAACAAATCGATTATACGATCTTTGATTATCTGGATGGTTTTGAAAAAAATTTTTTAATCCAGATATCACGACTCGACTGTACCTAAACTAAATTCTAAAAATAAAAACAAAACAATTAAAAAAATGTTAACGAAGAATGTCACATCTCCCCACTAACACCTTTGCATCACCCCAGGGTAGGCACACCTCACAGGTTACGAACTCCTCATTTATGATTTACGTATTAGTCTGCTGATCAGAGACTCCTGCAAAATACATTAATTCTAGAGTAGAAAACATAATGACAGATCACTTACCACTCTTACTCCATAATGGATATGTGCCACAGTAACCAGTCCCGTCAGCAGAGCCAGTAGGAGAGTTTCCGTTTCTTGGGCAAATCCTGAGAGGACAACGGCTACGACCAGGGCAAGAGGTAGAAGCAACCAGCTGAGCGGCTGGCATCGAGTGTTGCTCATCTGACAAACAATCAGCTGGCACTGTAACACAAACATCAATCAGCGAACAAATGTAGCCGGCACGGGCTCACACGGTAACAAGGGCCGCAATTGGCTCACATGGAAAAAGGCACAGATCACACTATGGTACATCCTTTGAAGCTCATACTGTAATATAGGTATTGATCAATGATCACTTAGCAACAAAACATGACATAAACCGCATTTCTAACCTATACAGAATTTATGCCAAAGAAGCAGAAATCTTACTTGGGAAATTGTTGTACAACCTGACAGGTACCTAAAAATTAGTAATGAGTTGTCTTTTTTTTTTTTTGTTCTTCCAATTATCAATTGATTTATTTTTTAATTATCATCATTTCATGCTTGGTTGTGCTGGTACAGACAAAGCACACTATATACGTTAATGCAAGCCTTGTATTTTGCTAATGATGCTTTTAAATGCATGAATTTCCTTTAACATTATCAACTGAATGGAAATATGGCAGATGGCTCTGCTGTGCATGGGTTTCCATTTGTTTAATCATAGCTTGCAACTGGTGTGCATTAGGAGATCATCTTTAATACAAAGCAATAGATGTGCACACTTACTAATACTGCAACACACTAGGAGTACCCAGATACCATCATTCCTAAATAAGGAAGTCATGGTATAGTCCTTGTTGTAGGAGCAGATACTGTGAAAATGCTCAACGTCTCCCCCAGGAACCATAGCAGGGGAAATCCATTAGTCTTAGGCAGGAGATAGGGAGAAGGTGTGGGGGGTGGTTTAGTGACAGTGATTTAAAGAAGATAAAATGGCATTACCATCTTAAAACATTTTAATAATAATAATTGGAAATATTGTGCGCCCACCACAGTAGTCACTGTACTTACTGTGATGTTCGCAAAGGTGGTGCCCATCATGAAGTAGAAGAGCCTTGGATGGGCTTCCAGGATGTCTGATGGAGACAGCAAGACCCACACGGTGCACAGGATGAAGAGCAGCACTGGGGAGATGAGCGGGAGCATGGACTCGTAGAAAGACTTGTGCTTCAGAGTGTTGTTGCGATATGCTCTTTAAATGGAAAAGGACTGATCAAGCAATGTACAAGATTACACATCATTACAGTTTTAAGTACTTTTAGCTGTTTAGATTGCTACAATATGCCAGGATTGTCAAAACATGAACTAACTTTGTCAATCTGCTTTTTAAGGGGTATCAGGTCTACTCTGAACCCCACCCAAAAGATGCACATGATCCTAAGGGGCATCTAGGAGCGCCAGACCCATTTGGACACATCATTCTTTCATGCCCTGCAGGGCCCCCATATCCTGACAGTTGGCATGGAAATTTATTATGGGATGCAAGCACAGGGCTCTACAATGACTAGTTAAAAGTACAGTTGCTTGTTGGAGGGCTCCAGCCATAAATCAAACAAGTAGGTTACAATGTTTGTCTACTATAATACAGAATAACATAACAATGGGCCATATTCAGTAGTTAAAAAACAAAACAAAATAAAAAAAGATCTAAAGTTTTTAATAATGGAAGGAGGAGGCAAAAAGAAGGATTGTTCCATACGAAATGCTGTTCAGAATGGTCGATAATTGCAGTTTGTAAAACTCCTTTGCTATGCAGAGTCTCTCGCTCTACACACGATCAGTGAGAGGGGACAAAACAGGCACCTTAGCTAACAAAATCTGAATCAAAAGGGAATTCTGGAGGGAGACCGTGAGAAGAATGTTAATGGATTGAAGAAAACTTACTTGAAGACGTTGTAGAGGCTCATCGGGAGGGTCACCGTGACAGCGCATCCTGTAACATTAAAAAAAACAGACATTATGAGACTTTCTGAGGAGAGATCCTAGGACATGCATTGTGCGCAGCGAATATCATGCACTTCCACAAGCAGTTACCACCTGCCTTACCAACAATCATTGAAGTGAAGAGATCTCTGTACAAGAGGTTAAAGACTGCTGGTTTGTACCAGGCTTCCACTCCCACCACAGCGGTCACTAGGTAAACACAGGAAATGGTCTGAAAGAAGATCAACAAGCGGGTTACACGTTAATACGCTGATCTTGCATCACTCTGCCCAGACTGTTAATAGCAGTAACCGCCAACCTTGGCCCCCCCAGAAAATTGTGAACATTTCCCACGGGAATACCTCTAGGGCGCCATGATTAATCACTAAACACACCTATCGTTTACTGTGTAATGCTCAGACAGAAGGAACTGTGAGACCAGTTATGGGATTTATACGTTTCAATAAACTGCTCAGTCTTCGATCATAAGAAGCTCGGTTGACATAAGTCACTGGAGACTATTCTAAGTGTGCAGAACCATCAATCCTGAGCACGTTACACTACGACAGTCCGACCCAGTTTTAACCTCAGTATTGGAACTAAAGGAGGATACTCACCACTTGGCTCAAGTCGTATCCCCAGGGTAAGAACAGTATTCCAGTGTTATACTTCTCCCAATGGGATAGGATGAAAGAGAACAGTACCACCCAAAGGAGAAGGTAAAGTACGAGCACACTGACGCCTGCTTCTCCACGGCCAAAAATAGAGTACACCGTCACCACAAAGTATATGCAGGCCCAGCTGTCCAGGCCGTGGTCAAAGAGCTCCCCAAGTGGTGTGCTGGAGTTAGTCCTGCGTGCTTGCTTTCCATCTACTCCATCTGCAAAGAACAAAGCAATGCGTTACATGCGGAACATACCATGCACACAATATCTAAAACACATATACTGCCCAGGTCTATGCGCAGCGGTCAGCTTTTTTCTGTCTAAATTCAATAAGTTCATGCAAAGTGACTGCTGAAAAAAAACCAAAAAAAAGACTGACCGATTTTACATAAAAGCCAACAAAAAGCACAGAAATGTCTACAATGTTTTCATAAATCCAAAATCAAATAGCTTTTGTGTTCTTCCCAGATCACAGCGATATAGTTCTATACATCGCTAGTCTGTTCTTCTGAGTCCAGCTCATTTGTAATCTAAATTTAGCTGATAGTTTTTGATGTAGACAATTATGGTTTAAAATGTTATCCTAAATTATGGAATTTTTGTTGTTTTTTTGCAGTGTGAAATTCAGATAGGTTTACTGGAGAAAGCAGGACCTACAATCAACACAAAACTGTTAAGGAGTAAGGTAGCCATTCAAGGCTCACGCACCAGACGCAAATTCTCTTCTTGGTGTTGACGTAACGTCAATGAGCCTGTGTATGATTCCGTTACAGTTATGCTTACTCAGTGGATTTTGTTTTGCTCCATAATGTCCTACCCTGAATAGTATTGTTTCTCTTTTTGTTCAAAATACAATGGAACAAACGTAAATATATTTTTAAAGTTAGAAGTTTCACTTTTCCCTCTTAGATTACTGCCCACTATCTTTTTAAATAAATTTTAAAATAAAACTTGAAAGGGACACTTCAGGAACCATTACAACATAATCAGAATGAAGGTGCCAGGCGCCAGCTTACCGCAATGATAAAAGTCATGAATCTGGTGCCTGTTTGCTCTTACTACAAACAAGCACTGTAGTCTGAGACTTGAAACCTCGGACAGAGGAGCACATTTTTCTCAAGTCCATCAGAAATATGTGGAAAGAGTTAACGGGTGATGGATTCAAGACTTGAGGTAAGTTGGCACCCGGGAACCTCCTTGCACCATAACGATATCATTCCGATGCAAGTTAAGCAAGTTTAACTGGCGTGATGGCTTTCTGGTTTGGGGAGATATCACGGCAGAAGCTGCACAGTCTAAAATTGTCAGTAAGCAGAAACTTCAAACTACAGTATCTTTATTTATTACAATTAATTGTTTTTGCACTTCTAATGTTGAAAGCTTTATCTATATAATTAATAATTCAGCCTGGAATGTTTGACTATAAAAAGGACCCGGAGCCTTGTTAACTGATGGTCCACCACTGAGACCTAGTGGTTTTAGCCCTCATCTTAAACTGAAAGAAATGTTTTTATTTTTTTTTAAAGAGCCTCAAAATAACACTTAACTTTTATTTCTATAATTTAAAATATATATATTATTATACACATACCCAATAAAAACAAACATTCACAAAAATAATTGTCACCTGACGTTTTCTAACCTACATCTTATTCTATATTTTGTGTCCCTTTTCCCTCCTTATATCTGTGTAACCGCGTTCAGGTAGACTGCCCAGTCTAATTTAATTACCAGCTGAGCCTGGATTTTTGCCAGCCTAAAGAAAAGTTTAGGGGAGAAAATGGGTGCAAAGTCACTTTGAATTTTAAAACGTGATTACAGGAAACCAGAAAATAAAGACTTAGGAAGGGGGAACTATTGGACTAAAGAAACATATATTCTCACGCAGGACTCAAACTAATAAGATATGAAATAAACTTAGGTTATCAAACGTGAGGTAAAAAATATATATATTTATATAATCTTCTGAATGTTTTTTTATTGAATATATTAAGATTTTATAAAATTGTTGAAGTATTGTTGATAGTTTATAAATATTATTTTGAGACACTTTTTTCTTCAGCCTGAAGTGTTTAATTCCAAATCTTTCAGCTTAGCATTTTTTATGAATAATGGAAAATAACAGAAGGAATTCATCTTGTAAAACCTTTTTTTATTGGACTAACAGAATTTTGGACAAGCTTCCGGGAGAACCTCCCTTCCTCAAGGCTAAAGCATTTCTGAGCAAAAACAACACACAGAATTCCAGTTGTTGAGTTGTGATTCGGTTTGAATTGTATGTGCTGTTTTTGTTCAGAAAAAATTTAGAGTTAAGAAAGAGAAATCTGCTATTTTACACCTGCATCGCTGGACTAATACAGCTACAATCTCTACTCTAAAGAAGAATGGCATTACCCTGTAATCACCACTAGGGGGCAGCCTAGATTTCCGAGCTTTACTTTAAAAGCAGTGAGTGTACAAGCCTGTTTATGAGACTTAAGGGAACACTCCAAGTGCCATCAACACTACAGCGTGCTGCAGTGGTTATGGTGCCAGGGAAGTCATGGCATCCTCACCCCCTCCATCTTACCTGGGGTCCAAGTACTGCTTCTGAAAGCATCCGCTGATTGCAGGGATTAGCCCAAGAAAGCCAACGGAAGTCTCTGCTTAGGGACTTCCATAACTCCGGCAGTGATGGAGCTTGGGAGTAGCTCCAGGCAGACCTCCAGTAAGAAATTAAACCATTTTAAAATAATTAAAGGGTTTCTCCAACCCTTTTTACTGTAAAATAGAATAATACCCTATTTGCATTGTGACAAACTGGACCTTGTCACAGGTTCTTGGAGGGGCATACTTGCCAGCCTCTTGCCCTGTGACTATGGCCCCTGTATCAAATCCTGGTTAAAACCACTATGTGTGCCTTTTTGCGTATGGCCACAATTTGAACTTTCGAGGCGGCACTTCGAACTCCCGAAGCCATTTGAAGTGCCAGTCGACCACAAGTTGGTGGTCATCTCGTTCACATGGACCAAAACCGAGAAAATAGACATCAGGGGGTGGATAGTAGTCGTCTAAATGCATTTAAAAGGAGTTTAAAGTAAGTGAACACCATTTAAATGGAATCAATAAGTGAAACAGATCCACTTATTTTTTTTATATTACAAATGCACAATGCATTAAATAAACACACCTCCAAATCACCAACATCTCTATATAGCAAAGCTTAGAGGAATTGCCTGCAGCTCCAGGAAGATCCTACTTCCTCACCAGGAAGAGGTTCCACCAATCAGGAGTCTCGTGTTTGTGGGGTCGTCTCGTATGAACCCCCCCCCCCCCATCGGGTAAAGTTCCTCCTCCAATCACAGTCTCACAAACAGAGAATGCACTGACTATCAATTTATATAAAGACTAGTTCAGCTTTCTAAACAGAGCTGTGTGCAGCGATCGGCACAGCCAAGCACACACTCAGCGTCCATGGAGTCTCCTGAAGTCTGCGCATTGTTACATAATGTAAGAGTCATTCAGCCAGTCCCCAAATCCTCGCTCACAGACTCACCTAGAGTATAGGCTGTGAAGTTAAGCAGACCAGCAACAATCCACACCCAGTTGGGGACATGTTCATGGCCTGGAGCTGTGTGAAACAACAAATAAAGTGAAGTCAATTACACAGAGACGGACAGCATCACATAAACCCAGACACACTATGTGCCGGGACACTGGTATCGTGTACATTCACGCATTATATGACTATTTACTATTCTATGCTATTACTTGTCATGTTAAAAAACAACAATAACATTTCTTGTATACATAATGCTAGCAATCTTCTCAACAAATGTATGTATTAAGAGAAAAAAAACGTTTTAAAAATATGTTGTTTTTCTGCAACCTGTCAATCAATTCTCCGGTATAGTCTGTGCTGAGGAACGGATTGATAACGGAGAGCAGGAGAGACCAACCACAGGCAGTCCTTCTGCTCTCCAGACATAGCGACCACTGCACATGTTTTGCAGCGGCTCAGCTAAGAGGTGACAGATCCCCTTTACGGCGAAGGACAAAGGAGAATTGCACTTCAGAAAAGAAAAGGCTGGACAGCATTACCACAAGGATTCAATGAAAGAGGCAAAACCTCGACAACAAAATAAACCAATAAAAATCAAGTGTGATGAATGTGCTATTTCAACCATTTAAGCGAACTGCACAAACCGTGGGCAACTGGTGGCTTAAAGGTCACGGTAAAGGTCAAAACACAAACTTACCCGAGGCATAAAAATCTGGGTCAAAAAATGCCATCATGAAAAAATTGAAAACCAGAAGCAAAAACCCACTGAAGGTGATGAGGTTTGGAGCCAGCCATGTTGGGAAAAACTGTTGGGAGATAAAGAGACAGATCAGCTTTTAGAAGATACTGCGGTTTAGACTCACACACTACAGAGCCAAGAAATACTCACTCTGACTATAGAATTCCAAAATGGGTGCATCACATAGAGGGAGAGAGGATTTGTGTCCACCGCGCTGTACTGCAAGGAAATTGGTAAAAACATTACAATTCAAGTTCATTTTTACCATTAAAAACCAGAGAGCGACTACATAACGGCTGTGATAACAGTCCTTGCAGCTCGCTGTCCTTAGTAAATCTGAAAAAAAGATATCAATGCTAAAGCAGACAGTGTCCCTATTTCTCATCCTGTATATGCACCGTATAACAAGCCGCTGGCTTTGAAGCCGTCTGCTCATTTATTTATTTCAGTTAAATTATTTTGCTTTGCCCATTTTATGGTAATGATTATACTTCCCCCCCCCCCCACGGCTACTTACTAGTTTATTTACATTTACTATCTTTTCTTCCTTGTGCCGAATATAAATACATGGGTGCAGCCATGTCTGCTGTTTGCCCTTTTGTGAGATCCATTTTATTAATGGATTGTGGACAAGTTTGATTGTTAACTGAAACTGAACCTTAAGTGCTGCCGATTGTCAAATTTAGTCAACTTGACTGAGATACATTAGAAAAAGTAGTCCCTAAAGCATTTCACAAACAGGAGATTAAAGAGATTCAGACAGAGAGCTATATAGAAGCAAATTTGATCAAATCACTTTTGGTGAAAGAGCTGCTTTAATGCACAACTGGTAGAGCAATTAAGGGGACATTAACGGTGAACCCTAACCAGCACAATGGAGGAGAACAATGTCTACTTATTTTGAGTGAAGAATATTTAATATTAGCAGCTTGATGAGAATATAAAGGAGAATAATTCAAAGCTCATGGCTTGCAGTGTGACCGTGGCCCTGGTAAACCAGGGATGAATTGAAAACTCCCCCATTATGCACCATCTATCTTTTCTTAGAAAATTCTGGTCACCCCTAAGAGGAACTGGAGGATAGGGTGATCTAGAAACGCACACTGCTGGTAGTCTTCAAACCAACTCCATTACCAGAACCCATAAGCAGGAGACCATTTCTAAACAGTAAATAAATACTTCTCTTCATAAAGCACCGTACAGATTCTAATTAAGAAGACATTTTTTATGACTGTGTTCAAGTATAGATAAAATGTAAAATACATCACATTAAGTCTTTAAATGTATCCCATTCGCTGTCATCCAATATCAAATGTCTTAACCACGATCAATAAACTACTACCCCCTTCCATGGGGAGCTTACTCACGCAGGAAGAAGAGATCAGTCAATGTTTGGGCAGTCATAGGATACCCTCGATTAGAACATGCACTTTAATATTAGTCTGACAGTCACATTGGCTTAAAATAAATAAATACATTTTAAAAAAAAGGTTCACATTTTCCAAAACCGAAAGGTTGTGACAGATTTCAGCTGTAAGGGAGGAGATCTGGGATTACAGGAGAACTGGAGATGTGTCTTGTATCCAGTGGCACTCACCAGGAGAACACTAACAGTTGGCACCCCCACAATACACCATTAAAGGTGAATACAGGTTTGGCTGATGATTTATTAATTGGACAATATTTCTTATATTTAATATTTCCAGCTATGTCTGGCTGAGTCTTTGTAATTTGTCATAATTTGTCAGGCATTCCTCATACGCAGTGAGATCCAGTGGCAGAGTGTGAATCAGTAACGTGGCAGGAGCTTTAGAAACAAAGGGTCAAATTCCAGTTGTCTCACACTGCCAGCTCTCGGGGTAATATTTACCCCAGTCTATCTTGCATAATACCAGTCCACATCTATTTAAAAATGTTCACCTCTGATTAATTTATTACCAGAAAGTACATTATTAGTGCATGTCCCCACAGCAGGTACCAGGACAGTATATGCGATTTTTCCTTCAGAACGCGAGGGGTGGTCCGCAATCGATGTTCAGTTATTGCGGAATCCATGGGATTTAGGTATATGCTATTTTCCTTGTGCACAAATATGTGATGTGGATATCTGGCTATTTTGTAATACTGTGTACCTGACTAATGAAAATGTGGAATTTGGTATTTATTTATTTTTTTATTATTTTTTTATTATAATTGCAGAGGTCAAAAACGTCCACTTTCCCATCAGTCCAAGAGAGTACAAACCCAGCAAGCTTGCCACAGACCCCTCTAACACAATTCATTTAGGGGAGGGGGGCCTGTTTTTTGAAAGCAGCAGTTTATTGTAAGGCTTTTGAGGATGAAAATACTTTTTTTAAACACATGGCCGTGACATTGGCTGTCAGAATAGAGTTCCAAGGTCAGGTGCTACTAGCCCACAGAACAAAATGTCAAATATCTTAGTAAGTTCAGTAGATGCACTCCTTCAAGCTAAATTGTTTTGGTGCAAGTATTCTTTTTACTGTAGTTGAACGCACAGTTTGTGGATGACCAGCTACCTTTCCCATGAAGTGTTTCAGCCTTATAGAAAGGTTATATGATAGTGTCTCGGCTGACTGCTTAGTATATAGCCCTACGTGGAAAGGTCTGTATTGTCATCTAACAAATGGTTTGTGAGATCCATGGTATAACAATGTTGGGAACCTCTCTGCACAGATTGTTAATCCCTGAACAGTAGGGATAGTTCTGGTTTGTTATTTTAAAATAGAGCCATAATCACTACAGCCCACCATCAGGAGGGTCTTGGAGCCATCGCATGGTAAGGATTTAAACCATTTTAGCACAGATTGATAGCTTCCTGATTCTTGCCGAGCCCCCGTGATCACATGCCCTGCTTCTGGATTCCACTGCAGAACCCAGTTAAGTTGTCAAAGAGTTTGACAAATTTCACATGGATATTGGCACGGCACACGGGGCACCATAACCACCACAGTGGTATCATGTTTTGAGAGTTAAGGAATACTCCAAAATTACAAATATGTTGTTAGAGTGTTTTCCATTAACAAACAGTGATATCACAGGTATGTCCCCGAAAACGTGAGCTTTATGGGACATGGCATTAAATTGTCCAATCAGAAACTGTAGAGAACATTAACTTTGAATGAGCCAATCAAATCCAGCAAATAGTTCACAAGCGAGCCCAGCGATTGCACTAGATTTCCTAATTAGCCTTCCTTCTAGTACATCACTGCATTCTGCAATTTCTGTGTACCGACTGCATTGTGCCAGAACACACACCATGATTAATGCCAAAAAGAGCAGAAGATGATAATATGATATATTCATATAACCAAGGCAACAGAAATGAACATTGAGATACATTTCCTTAGCTGCAATAGTTGTGTGCTCTTTATAAGAACCAAAACTGCATTAAATGGAATAAGCAGATAAAAACAAAAATAAATTGGGGAAAATGAAGAAACACCGGGTAACAGACAGGCCTTGGTTTAAACCGTAATGGGATTGTACAGTGTGAGCTGCCAGATCAGGTCTCCTTTCTATGTAAGTTCATTAAAATTGAATGGATGCTAGTGACCCATCTACTCTTATTCCTCGTATATGGGACCTGGCAAACACTTCCACTAATGGACCCCATGCAGCAGCAACTCAAACACAGGATTAATAACTCAATCTGTTTAAAGGTACAGTACAGAAAATAAAAAACACTGTTTAGTAGATATACCCCATGAAAGCATGCAATTTTTTATGTATTTTTTAATTGGGGTATATCTAAAACAGTTTGCAAATCCTGCAGATCTCGTCTGCTCACACTGCAGGCCCGCTGCCCCTTCTAATCCCACCCAGACTTGCTGTGGCAGTCCAATCACAGCCTTCCCAATTGCCCAAAGCACATGTCTTTCAAAATTCTCATTGAGCTGCATTGGGAAGTCTGTGATTGGATAGACAACAAAAAGACTGTGTGGGTTAGAAGGGGAGGGATTGTAAAGGCTGCAGAAAAAAGATCTGCAGATTTTACAAACAGTTTTAGATACAACTCCAATGAAAAAAAAAACCCCACAATTTTGTCTGTCCGGGGTAGATCGACTAAACAGCACTTTTTATTTATTTAGTATTTGATCAATGGAATGTCCCTTTAAATTATAAATGTGCTAAATTCTATCGAAATTCACACTTTTTATTTAGAACTAAAAAAAATAGGACAACCTTCACATACAGATCTTTTCAGCGAGCTTAAGTACTTTAGTGGTGTGGGGTGTACCATTCCAAAAAAAAAAAAAAAAAAGATTAAAAGTCACATATATACTAAATATTAAACAATTTAGTAATAGGCCATTCAGTCCATGCACAGCCAGGACACACAATGCACTATAAGACCAGATACAATGAAACAGATTTATCACAGACCAGATACAACGAGACAGATTTATCAAAGACCAGATACAATAGAACAGATTTATCAAAGACCAGATACAACGAGACAGATTTATCAAAGTGTTGCAGACTTCTGTGGTGGGAGCAGGAATTAAATATATTACTGTTTTAGTGCCTTGAGTGTAGTTTTTGAGTTTTGCAAGTGACAGAAACAGATTTAAAGGAACACTATAGTCACCAGAACAACAACAGCTTATTATATTTGTTCTGGTGAGTATAATCAGTCCCTTTAGGCTTTTTGCAGTAATCACTGTCTTTTCAGAGAAAATGCAGGGTTTATATTACAGCCTAGAAATAACTCCACTGGCCATTCCTCAGATGGCTGCTAGAGGTGCTTCCTGAGGCAGTGCTGCACACGATGACTGACATTCAGTGTATCCACGCTCTGCATGGAGACACTGAACTTTTCTCATAGAGATGCATTGATTCAATGTATCTCTATAAGGAGATGCTGATTGGGTAGGGCTGTTTTTGGGTTGTGCTGCTCTAAACCCTGATCTGCTTCCTTGACAAGCTCAGCTTATTCTATGGGAAAGCATTGTGATTGGCTTTGAGCAACACATCTGATGATGTCAGCCAAGCAGGCAGGTCAGGGGCAGAGCCAGGAGCAGCAGACTGCAATAAAGGAAAGATTTTGCTATATTTAGGGGGCAGGGGGGGCTAGATGGTGTTTTTAACACTTTAGGGTCGGTGTGTGTTCCTAACCCTATAGTGTTCCTTTAGCAGCCTTTACATCACTTTTTGTCCAAAAAGTGTTGTTCATTTTTCTTTTTTTCTGCCACTCTGTATTTGGTAGACTTTTTTGGATTTGAGATTTCTGACAAATGGTGGAATTTATGTACAGAAGAGCAGACACTTTTTAAAACACTCTTAGGAACCCATTTAGAAATCTCCCATGTATAATTTCTCTTTTCTCTGCAGAACATATAACAATGATTGCCAGGGAGCTAAGTTACAGGACAAGAGTAATTAATTTCTAAATTTCATTTTATTTTAAAATTAAAAAATATTTAAACAAATATATATAAATATGTATACCGGTATATCTAAAAATCTTTGGAAAGTGACAGTTCTGCCTTATTGAGTTTCATGTTTACAATTAAAAAAGCCATTATGAATTCCCGAAGCTGAAATATTTATTAGGAATCTTCCTCCTTGAACGTGGAGCCATACTGACTGATCTTATCAAACTCAATAAAAATCAACAGAAGAGGAAGATAATGTAAAGTGAAGGCTTGCTTATCTTCTGTGATAAATACTGCAATAATCCTCTTTATCACTACAAATAACAGAAATAAACAGTAGCTAACGGCTGCCCACTCACACAGGTTTGTTACATACAGTCTTCTAATGGAAACTGGTTACACTGAGCTCATGTATCCAACTATCTGTAACTAGATGGACAGAATATAATGTATTAAAGACCGTTCACCCTAAGACAAGAAGCTGTTCATATAGTGATCTATACTGTCACATCGGCTAGCAAATATCTCCAAAACATGTCCATTCTTGGTTTGAGCTCCGCAAGGAACGCCAAGCCAACACCAACCTTATACTCATAATTTGCATTCACAACGAAACAGCTGTCCATGGGTGGTTCACTGGCTTTGCACCTCTTCCCAAGTTGTGTTTCAAAGCTGTTGTATAACAAACCTAAACTTCAAGGAATCCATGTTTAAAATGGAATGAGGCAAAAAGATGGTTCTGTGTTTAACTAATGTGCATATTCCCACCCAGAATCCTTTGTGGTAGTAACATCACTGCAAATCTGAGATTTCTGTGGGAAAAGCAAGTCTTATGGCTTGACTGGTGTGCAGATCTTTGTTTAAAGGAACACTATAGGGTCAGGAACACAAACATTTAGGTGGCTTGCCCTCCCTTAAAAAGGGTTAAGACTGACAATATCTTCACAGATCTGCAGGCGCAGGTCCCGCCCACTATCCGCCTTTTTGGCTGACAATCGGAATTGAAGCTTTCAGCCAATCCAATTCCAATGCTTTCTCACAGGAAAGCATTTGGTTGGATGAGATACTCAAGGAGGCAAGGCATTGAATCAATGCATCTCTATGACAAAAGTTCAGTGTCTCCATGCAGAGGGTGAAGATACTGAATGTCAGTCACAGTGTGCAGCACTGTCCCAGGAAGCACCTCTAGCAGCCATCTGAGGAGTGACCAGTGGAGGTATCACTAGGCTGTAATGTAAACACTGCATTTTCTCTGAAAAGACCGTGTTTACTGCAAAAAGTCTGAATTCACTACTATACTCGCAAGAACAAATACATTAAGCTGTATTGTTCTGATGACTATAGAGTCCCTTTAACCATATATTGACTATCCACTGACTTCAGGTGGAAGGGGTTTCCAATCGCTTTTTTCCCCACCATTACTTTCTTAGTTTGTGCTCGGTCTATATCCCTCTATACATGTAACAATGCACACAGCTTAGTATAGTCTAATGAGGCCATGCGCACAGCAGTCTGGGACTGGACACACGCATTGTGGGAGTGCACGTACGCCACTAAGCTAAGTGTACCATTTAACCTCTAGCACAAGGTAAAGGATACATTGAATTGCTCACCTATTAAGTGGCGTGTCCACGTATTTGAGACAGCTTGCAATGTGTTACTACACCCCATTTAGTAATTAAAAGCTTAAACACAGCCAGTCAGTGAAATAATGTCTATATACAGAGGTCCGTCACTGAACCGACAAACGCTGGAGACAAAATGCCTAAAATGCATCCAAACATTCAGTATCTCCTCCCTCTGCATGCAGACACTGAACTTTCCTCATAGAGATTCATTGATTCAATTCATCTCTATGAGGAGATGCTGATTGGCCAGGGCTGTGTTTGAATCATGCTGGCTCTGCCCCTGATCTGCCTCTTTGTCAGCCTCAGCCAATCCTATGGGGAAGCATTGTGATTGGATGATGTAAGCAGACTGCCTGTTTTTTTTTAGGCAAACAGCATGCAGAGTTACAGCTTCAGGCTTGAATACAGTAAGATTTTGCTATATTTATGGAGGCATGAGGGGCCATAGGGGGCTATATGGTGGTTTTAACACTATAGGGTCTGGAATACAGGTTTGTGTTCCTGACCCTATAGTGATCCTTTATCAGCACATGTGACTATGCAGCCTGGGACTTGCAGTTAGTAAGAGGTCAATTCTGGGCATAAAAATACATCCAGCGTCAGCGTGCACTGCACATTGGCAACGGAATATTGAGCCAGGAAATATTTTTCCTGTCTCCCTATATCCTCAATAGTGTCTATTTTTTTTTTTAAACTAATTTCACACCCTCCCCATGCCGACCACACAACAGTCCAATCAAATTATTCTTTAGGAGAAGCCTTTGATTTGACCCCATGAGGCCCTCAGAGACGTTA